ACTTGGCATGCACTACCAAATCACAATGTAACGTGGCAGCAGAGAAATTGGAGTGTGTTAAGCTATAGAAATTTGTCTAAAATAATCACGTATACATCTATTTTTGTAATACGTTAGTAACTAGAACATCTTGTTGGATGACAGTTTGAACTGTGCCGCAGCTACATCAGCTTTTTTTTTTAGTAATCTCACTGCCTTTTAGATTAGTTTCTTAAAAAATCAATTTTACTTGTAAGTTCATGATGCTTTTGGTGGCTAATACACGTAACTTAAGGTGGCCAAAAAATTAGAAAGAAAACATTTGTGAAGCAATATAATATTTTTCTTTTCTTTGGCAGAGCACTTCTAACTTCATTTTTGACCTTCTATCATTGTCTTGGTGACGGGGAACTATTTCATTTTACTCCATTGACGATCATCAACCACACATCAACCAGTAATCGCCTGGTTGTTACCTTTAAAGGCCAAAAGAAAAAAAAAAGAAAAAAAAAGAGAGCAAAAAGTTACACTTGCACGAAATTAGCAAATCTTAGGGGGGGGGGGGGATAATAAAACTGCCGAATATTCAAAATGTGAAATAATTGAACTATTAGAACCTGAAATAAATTTCAAATTAACAGAAGATTAAAACAAGTAAGTTCGGAGAGTGACTAAACAGAATGCAAAACCTTGTAGTGCTTTTGCCAAGGTTCAAAGGTGGTCATGAATACACTAGACCACTCAGTTTTTCCTCAAATCTCATTGTCTCCTCCTCCTCCTTGGCGTCTCTTCAAGGAAATCTCTGTGCACCAAATCAAGAGGATCCATGTGAACGAATTGATCCCAGATGAGCACAATGTTGCCACCACCAGAGTTGATCAGTCTGGCACCTGGAAATAAATCTTCCAAGTCTCGGATTCTAGCAAACTTGCTCTTCTTATTTGGTGATGTCCATTCTTGATCTTAGTTAGTTCTCACTAATGTAGGATTTGGTCACTAACGTGGACAAGTCTTGAAAGTAAGAGACTCATTTTCAAAGACTAGACTTTGAAAAAGTAAGAGCCACTTTGAAAGGTTCCATGAAGCTAAGGGTACTTAAACACCTTTTACCTTTCAACTGCTTTCAAATCTTACTTCCTGATCAACTTGTGATTCTACTTCTCAGTTTGAGGCAAGCGATGATCCATTAGAGAAGATTCCAACAACAGAAGCTATTAGAGTCTTGGTGGACTATTACCACACTTCTGACTACTATTACACTACAAGGGCTAAGGTTGAAGAGATATCACAATATGTAAGTACTCTTTTGTTCTGTTCTAGAGGTTTTATTGGTCTCATATTTAACCCGTTTCAACGCTACAAAAAGGGACTATTCTTGACTCTGGAGGCAGCCAAACTAGTTTCCTTCTGCAGACCTACACTCTTACCAAGCGATCATTCATTAACATGTCAAAGGGACTTTGGATATTACTGGCTTAGACTTCTTATTTACATCTTGGTCACTTTCTGCATTGGAACCATCTATTGGAACGTTGGGATTAGCTACAGCGCCATTCTGGTAATTTATTTGCTAATATCATATGTTAGGAAGTAAACTAATGTCTAACCTCTCACCATATCAGGCACGAGGCTCATGTGCGTCTTTTGTCTTTGGCTTTGTAACATTCATGTCGATTGGTGGGTTTCCTTCGTTTGTTGAAGACATGAAGGTTAGTTAATCCCTCCTGCAAGTTAAACTATAAACCAAACATCTTATATATTAAAATAGAAGTCACAACTTTGATCTATGTGTGATTTTCTTTTTAAAAAAATAGACCATTCCTTAGAAAGATTATCAAGATCAACAAATGTTACATAACTTACTCCTGGAAAGCTGTCGTGGACTTTCAAGTATTGGTCAGCAAGATCCATTAGTAACTCCCCTACTTTCAATATAACTTCATTTCAGACCTTCTATGAGTGTCTTGGTGATGGGGCACTATTTCATTTTAACAATATTCCCATAACTCCCCGACCGCCCACGGCTAATGGGCCACCGACGCCCGCTCTCTCGACCGTGGGCCCCATTCCGTTCCAACGGTCGGTCCGTTAATTTTCCAAGGCTCCAGAGACATGTTTACTGGCCCTGCAATCACAACCCGACCTTTCCCCGTGCTTTGGCCTCATTTACACGGTATCGCAAATCACTTCCCGATAGGTCACCCATCCTTTGACTACTCCAGCTCAAACACGCTTAACTCTGGAGTTCTCTCTGGATGTGCTCCCGAAAAGGTAAGTGCACTTTGGTGACATAGGTAGCCAAATCAATTATCTTAAGCCTTTCCATATACCATAAACCGGGATGTTACAATTCACCCCCTCTCAAAGAACGCAACGTCCCTGTTGCGCTCTCCGACAGGTCTCAAGACGCCTCTCAGGTCAGAACTGAGATGGCTAACCAGCTCTGATACCACTTATAACACCCCGACCATCCACGGCTAATGGGCCACCCATGCCCGCTCTCTCGGCCCGTGGTCCCATCCCGTTCCAATGGCCGATCCGTTAATTTTCCAAGGCTCTAGAGTCATGTTTACTGACCATGCAATCACCACCCGACCTTTCCCCGTGCTTTGGCCTCACTTACACGGTATCGCAAATCACTTCCCGATAGGTCACCCATCCTTTGACTACTCCAGCTCAAGCACGCTTAACTCTGGAGTTCTCTCTGGATGTGCTCCCGAAAAGGTAAGTGCACTTTGGTGACATAGATAGCCAAATCAATTATCTTAAGCCTTTTCATATACCATAAACCGGGATGTTACAATTCCATTCACGGTCAGCAACCACACATCATGGTCCACACTCTTTCCATTAGGCAATCCAACCAATCATGGTAATATTCTATGGACATCAATATAAGAATTCAATATATTTGTCATATGATGAGATGTTTCACTCAATTATCCACTTATTTGTATAACTATCTTCACTTGAATAAGTTGATGATTTTGACTTCAAACACGAATTACTCTCAATTTGTTTCCATTGCTTTTTTCAAGTCAATTTTGGCTTGAGAATCAGTTTTGTAACAGTATATAACATAACAATCGTGTGTGTCAATGGATCGTTTTGTCTCAGTGAAGAGTTTTTCACAACTTTTTATTCAACCTTTGTTAGACTGCTTTCTGCAAATCTTCCCATATCAATATTCTCCTCTTCTATCAATAACTAATAAACAAATCACACAAAAACAATTTTCAAATTAAATTTTTTGAACAGTGATCGCGCGAACAATAATCATGATGAACAATAATCGATTTCTAACCTTGTTCTGATTAAAAGATCTGAAAATTCTTTCTATTAGTTATGTTCATTTTTACAAAGAGATCTCTTGGTTACATCTACAAAATCCTATAAACTAATAAGGAATATTTACAATCTTAGTCAATAACTATTTACAATCGGCGTTGAAATATACCAATATGGAGTCGAATGTCACGTCTTTCCACTGAGAGATGATGAAGATGCTGAGCTAAATCTCAATACTATGCTAAGTCAAATCCTAATCTTGCTGAGCCAAATCTTGAAGATGGAGGACGAGTCACTGAGCATGTTGCAAATCCCAATAATGGAGGATATGAAAGAAGTCGAAGAGATTATTTACGAGAATGCTATCTTTCTGATGGATATAAAAGAACTTGAAGACGAAGACCAAGAAGTTGAAGGAGGTGGAGACATGATGATCGGAACTGGAGGCGTAGCCGTAGACACCGAAGTGGGTGGGTGGTGGAGTGATGATGATCTGATCTCGAGAGTCTAGCCATACAATTGAAAACCAAATCATTTGTCAAGCACGATACCAGAGATCCTTGTTCTTCTTCCTGATTCCTCTTCTTTGTCCCACGGGGTGGCTCTTCTTCGGAATTGAACATCATACAAACACACCAAACAGAAAACTTTTAGTTTCACGTCTTTTATAGGAGATTTGAACTTCGATTTTTTAATAATTTATACACATTATCTTTACTTTCCTTATTTTAAAGCAATTTCTTGGATTTGTAAGTTTTCAGAATAATGTACCTATGTAAGGTTCAAATATTTGTCTGAATAAATAATTAGCCCTAAACCATGCATAATTATTGAATTTGCATGCTTTTATCAAATGTAATTTTCCAAAACTTTATTATCAAAATATGACAACACTAAACCAGATAAATCTGGTTAATCTACATAATATATTAATAGGTTTTAAATATATTTTCTAGCAGTATCATTTGTTGATCGAAGTTTTTAATGTTGGTTAACTTCAAATAAAATCTGAATTCTTAAGAGTTATTCGGATAAAATACACTAAGATAGATATGAATTTATCAGATATTACATAATTAATCCGGATAGCACATGTAATAATCACTGGACACATTTTCTAAAGATAAAAATGTAATAGTGAAATATGTCATATGAAATCAAATTGAGTTATTGAAATATATAAAGCAATATTTACCTTTTTATTGCAAAGAACCATCTTGTTGTATCACAGTTAAGCTTGCATTGTGAAGCGACTGCATCAGATAGGTTAAGTTGTGTTTTGCTACAAGCTTTGTTTGTATATGTTGAAATGAAAATTTGATCTCTGACAAGTTTACTCTTAGGTTTGGGCTTATATTTTATTGTAGGATATACCAGGAAACCCGGTTTACTCTTGGGTTTGGTCTGGTTCTGTGCCGTGCGTGTTCGGAAAACATGGCAATCTTTGACTGCTAGACAACGTAAACTTTTGTCGGTGAACAAACAATGGATTACGTCAGGGAGGATCGAAACATGACGTAATGTGACTTGTGAACCTTTTGTTTGACCGTACCGTAGTGTAAACGAAGCAACACTTCTTCACGTCACCGAGATTATTTAGTGCTCGACAACTAACTAATAATCAATACACAGCGTATTTAGATCAAAATCAGATAAGAGTTTGACTTTGCAAGATCCACTTAAGGCTTATAAATAGAAACTCTGTTCTCATAGCTTTTCAATTCAATACTCAAAAAGGTTTCCAGATAAAGAAAGCTTCCACAAATGTCATCACGTCTCCATATTTTCCTCCTCGTAGCGGCCTTCATCAGCCACCATGGAGCCACCACCGAAGCCGCGGTTGAACCAGTAACCGACATCAACGGTAAACGTCTCACATCAGGCACCAAATACTACATCTTGCCTGTTGTTCGCGGTCGTGGCGGTGGACTAACCATGTCCAAACCCGAAAACAAAACCTGTCCGAGAAGCGTCATCCAAGAACAATACGAAGTCTCTAACGGCCTGCCGTTGACATTCTCACCATCAGACAAATCAAGAATCATCCGTGTTTCAACTGATCTAAACTTCAAATTCTCAGCTACTTCGATCTGGAACTTGGACAATGTCGACGAGAAGACGAATCAATGGTTCATTGGAACTTGTGGCGTTGAAGGGAACCCGGGACAGTCAACGGTTGGCAACTGGTTCAAGATTGACAAATACGAAAGTGATTACAAGATCGTGTTTTGTCCATCTGTCTGCAGCTTCTGCAAAGTCATGTGTAGAGACGTTGGTGTGTTTGTTCAAGATGGGATTAGAAGACTTGTGTTAAGTGATGTTCCACTAAAAGTTATGTTCAAAAGAGTATAGATACAACACAAATGTTATTTTACAACACTTTCAATAATAAGTTAATAACTAATAAAGGAGTTTTTTTCAATGATTGTTACTCTCTGCATATTTGATTTGAATATCGAATGAAAGTAAACTAAGCACATCAAATCAAATCCAAAACTTAGAGAAAAATCGATGAGTGAAGCAGATCAAATTGATAAAAAACATTATCTGGGAAACAAGAATCTCTGGTCGGGAAACACTACAAAACGAGGATAGAGTGGACAAGCAAAATTATAAGGATATGTAATAATAATTCAAGTGCGGTTTTGTTGTGGCCTTCTCTCACTCGTTTGTCTTAAGAAGAAGCAGCAGCTACTTTCTCTTCAGAAGCGGCTTCGAAAGTCTCACCAGGTACAAGATCTGGGACATCATCGTCCTCATCATCCTCTTGAATGGTTGCTGGTACATTACCTCCACCAGGAGCTTGCTTCTTGAACTGCTCTGCTAGCTTCTTAAGATTCTCCATGTTGTCTGGTCCTGCAATAGATCCAAGTAAAAACATATTTTAAGTAATTCGTTTGGGGTTGGGTGAAGAACATGTAAACAATCAATCACATGGAAACATACCGAGATGGCTGAGAATCTGAGGAAGGATATCTTCCAATTCTACAAAAAGGCAACAACAAGTTTTATTTTTAATCAGAAAGGATTCAATGAAGAAGAATCAAGAAAATAGAGATGTAAATGATGCATACTTTTGGTCTGAGGAGAACCGCTAACAACCCATGTGTTTGCAGCAACTGAAGCTTGAACTGTAATAAAGGATAGAAAACAATGATCAGTAACATGAAAAAAGGTTTACTACTCTTCACTGAGTATAATAATGTAAGAACAAAAATATATTAAATTTAAAAGTTTACCCTTGGGGTTGAGGAACTGAATAACAACATCATCCTTGAAGATGTTAACTTCTTCAATAGCAGGAATGGAGTTAACTCCAATTCTCTTGAGAGTGCTTTGGAGCTTCTTGTCATCAGTTGTATTGGTCTTGTGCACAGCCTTCTTCTTTCTACATGCAGAGAATCAAATGGTTCATATAACAGAAGCCAAAGTAAACGCGAAATGACAAAAAAAAGAAGTAATACCTTCTAACTGTACCCTTGCCGCCAGTGCGGACAGTGTTAGCCATCTTCATCAACTTCTCACGATTCATCTGTGTAAGAACCATACAAAAACCAAACTCATTAAGTCCCGCATCAATGAGATTCACGAACATCTCGTAAGTTTAAACACAGATGTGTATATGAATACAAGCTAATAGTACTGTTGATATTAACCCTAAGCATCGATTAGATTCTCTCTTTTCGAATCAAACATGCACATAAGTTGAAAAGTAGCAAATATTTACATCGTTCTTTAAGATTTTAAACACGGACAAAAAAACACATCTCAAATCGATACAGAAAGAGAAATGAATCCAGGAAAAAAAAATGTCTTTTTTATCCCGACAAAGTTCCAAAAATCGGACAATTCAGAGAAACTCTTACAACGAAACAATAAGACACAGAAAGCAAAGGGACACAACAGCTGTGGAGTTACCTTGAGATTCGGTGATTAGGGTTTATGTTTTTTCTTCGTAGAGTGGAAGAAGATAATAAGTGAAGGTAGTAGAGACGGTGCGGCGCAAGAGAGTTTTTGCGTCTTTAAGTATATGGCTATCGCAGCCAAGCTCATTTATTGATCCAACGGTTAAGATATCATATGGTTCATAAAAAGCCTCCATCTCTACCGTTGGATCGTTTAACCTTTTTCGGATAATCATTGGGACATTTAAAGGCCCAAAATAAGATGAGCGTTCGCATTTAATGGGCTTTTTATGCAATTATGAAATGAATACCCGTTCGCTTTATCGTTTCCCGCATTCTACAGCGGTGCGTTTTGCACACTCCATTCGGTCCACGGCATCATCAAGTACCCGGTCCATTGAACCGTTTGTGTTATCAGTGAACACAGTTGGTGATTTCACTAAAAATTTAATAAATCAGATGTAACATTCTGATTTATGATATAAAGTAACATATATGGAGAGACTTAAATGAATTGATTGGACTAAGAATTTTTTTATGATCAAATGTGGAAAATAGTTAAAAAATAAGTTACTTAACTCACAATGCCGTGTGAAGGTTGATGATGATTGCAAGTTTGGTAAATAACTTGAACTTTACCGAGCTTTATTCATGATACCGAGGACAGAAACAGCTATCACATAAAAATTGTAAGATTAATAAACAAATTTCCAAATTTTTCTAAAAATATAGGCAACGGCCGCATAAAATGAATTCATACACTGAGTAAAGAGATATGAAAGACCCATTAATTAGCTATAAATGATTAGAAAAAACGTTACTGAATCTCTAATAATAAAGTAGACATATCTGCCTTGTTAGGCTGTCCACGTCAGCATTCTACCTAGGGGATTTTGCGACACGTCAGCAACACCAAAACTACGCTGCTATCTGTAAAAGTCGGGAATATGCTTTTTGGGCCATTGCAAATAACATGCGAAGCCCATCTGAGTTTTGTTCTTCTTCCTCTTTCTGAGTCATCCCTCCGATCCCAGATTCGTAACGTCTTCGCATCTCAGATTTTTGTTCTTTGTTCTCCCGATCTAACCTGACCACGATTGCGTTACATCCGACTTTCTTAGTTAAGAGAAACGTGATCACGATGTGTTCTTGAATCAAGTTCCATCATGTAGCTATAACATGTTTGTTTTCATTTAATGTGTTGCTTATTTCGTTCACTTTCTAAGATCACAAAGTGTTCTGTTTAATTATCAGTAGAGGGAATCGATTTGCTAAAGGAGTTGCTGTCCAAAGGTGTTTCTGTTGATTCTGAAATCGAGTCTGGTATGTCATTGATTGGGTAGCTGGCCATGACCAAAGAGATACGGTGCAAGTTTGTTAGAACACAACGCCAATGTAAGCTTTTGTGTATAATGCATATTTTTGGGTGAATTTTCATCTAAACCGTAATTTTAATTTTGATTTTTAATGATCTCTCAGCATGCTTAGAGCTGTTGGTGGAGGTTTGTTTGAGTGTAGGAGATGTACGTGTATGTTTGATATTGAGGTGGAAGCTTAATTCTTGGCAAGGAAGATAGGATTGTTGCTGGAATTGCTCTTGCTGAGATGATTTTGAACAAGTTGATCCCTCTTTGAAGGTTTAGATTTCCAATCCTTGAAAGGGTGTTTATTTGTTTTGGTTTCAGTTAAGTGATGTTTAGTGATATATTGAATCTCTCAAGGTTGAAAGGATGCGCAAGATGTTGGGTTCTATGCCTGGTACTTTCTACATATCTCCTGGACCCTGCGAACCTCCTCTTGTCAAGGTTCAAGAAGAAGCCAAAAAAAAAAAACTCAACAAATCTTTGTTTCTTGCATAAAGTGGAATCAAAGATGTGAATGTTGTCTATCCAAAATAATCGAATGAAGATCAGTAATTAAACATTTAAAGCTGATGTTAGTCTTCTCTGTTTTGCAGTTTGCAGGTTGGAGACACTCAAGAGGATCACGTGGTGGTTGCTCCCTTTCTTTAAAAAAAACTCTTGTGTGATGATTTGTAAGATTCCATAACAAATTCGTTAGCTACGGTAAAAGAGCCAAGAGTTGTTCCCTTTCTTTAAAAAAAGACTCAATGCGGTGGTTGTTGTTTCTTTTATTAGCGCAGATCTTTTTCTTTATAAATATTCACATGTTAAGGACTTATAAGTTCCGTCGTCATGCACCCTTCATTAGTAAAATCAAACTTACCATCACTTGCAAGGCTTATAAAACAGATTTTATTGCAGACAACATATTATTTGTGTGATCTTATCGGTTTGTGGAATTGCAGCAAGTCGTTTTGCCCGTACTGTGTGAGAGTGAAGGAGCTTTTGCAGCAATTGGGTGCTAAATTCTTCACCATTGAGCTAGACAAAGAGAGTAATATTCCCTAATCTTCATCATATTTTTGTCTACTTGATGCCTTCTGTGACGTGCCTAAGTCTTGGTCTTTGTTTGATCGTTAGTGTATGTTTTCTTCTGTTTGCTCTCTCGCTTGTGTATTTAAAATTTGACGTTAGTTGTTTTTGTACCAAGTGTAGTCATTTTTTTGATCACATACTCAAGTTTTTGTTTGTTTATTTAAAGAGCAAGTTCTGATTGTTCTCTGAGGACAAGAAAATTTCGGATTTTTATATTTCCCCTACATATTCATGTATAGGTTTTGTTCATGAAAATATTCTAAAATGTGTCTCTGCTTTTTCTAGAGATTCGAGTTTAGGTTTTCTGTTTGATCTTTTGTAGGTTCTACTCACATTAAAAATGTTCTATGATACTTCTATTTTTTTTTAATTCAAGTATATATTTCTGGGACCATAACACTCGATGAGTATATATTACACTGATTCAGACTCACCAGAGGGATCTAAACTCTTTTCAAATTTTTATAAGATTTTTCCTTTGTTTTTGCTCTAAACCAAAATCTTTGTGATTTTCCATTGTTTTTGTAACAGTAACCAACATGCACAGATACAGTAATTTGGTTCCTGTTGACTGAAGCTGAAGCTATCGCTGCAAAAGCTAGAACAGCTTCTGCTTAATAAACACATCCATTTGTGATTTGCTTTCTATCAGGAATAAAAGATGACAAGTTTGTGTAATAAATGTCTACTTTGTTTGAAATGATTTAAAGTTGTGGTTATGTCGAAGTCGGATTCTGATACATTTATGTTTTTGTTTTATCAACTGATATGTTTATGTTATCAGGGCAAGCTAATGAGTGACAGACTCAGAATTACTAATAAATAAAAATGCAATCAGCCAGTTTACGCGTCGAAATTTTCAACCACACGAGATTAAAACAAAACATTCAAGCATCCACTTCCATTATTACACCCAACCCAGTGACCACACTACATTTGTGAGCAACTGTTTGATGCATGTTACAAGTTAGAATGCCAGCTACGTTAGGTTTCAAAACAGTAGAAACTATGTGAGTGTTTACGTACTCATCACTGAATTTCTTTCATTCTAGAATCTATTTCACCACAAACTTTAATAAAACAGTATCAGTTGCAGAGTGCCTATAGGCCTACCAAATGAATCCTTAATGGACATAGTAAATGGAATGAAAATGACATAAAGCCAGCCGCTACTAACAGACCCCCTACAGTCTTTCACTACACAGTCATGATTCAATCTCGGATCTCTCTACCATCTAAATTTCTATAAGTCATGTTAAAGACGCCAGTTGAACTGAAAGGCAGAGTAACTATAGGGAGTTCCCTGAAAAGACAAAGTGTTTTTGAAGCATCCACATCATTAAGCAACCAAAAGAAGCCGAAAAAATATTTTATCACTCTCTTTCAATAAATTTGCATCTTCATATATTTGAAAATATTTTATTTACTAAGAACATAAAAATTAATTCAAATTATTTTGAAATAAATTATACGAAACCAGCGCGTAGCGCCGGAATACCACTAATTAGCTATAAATCTCAACATTGGTTTTATTAGAATATATAAAGTTACATTATTACATATGACAGAGAGAGATATAGAGCCAAAACGCAAACGCAGGAAACATTCATTTACTGCTTCTTGAGAACAACATTCTCCAAGTACCATTGTCTGACGCAGCCCATTTTTAATAGTAACCTTAGCTGTCCATCCCAAATACGCAAGCTTCGAGCTATCCATAAGCTTCCTCGGAGTCCCATCAGGCTTACTACAATCCCAAACAAGCTTCCCTTCAAACCCAACAACCTCCTTAACCAACTCAGCCAACTCTTTAATCGTCACTTCCACACCACTCCCCACATTGACATGCTCAAACCCACACTAATCACGATAGATATTCTCTAATGTTAGTGCAACTGCTCTAATCGATGATTGGTTGAGAGATAGTTGCAAACACACAAAAAGTAGTTGGCTAGTTGCAAAAGATGGCGTCTACCACCAGTGCTAAAATCCAACTGTAAGTATATAATGTAATATTCTTAGACCTCTTCTAATACAATAATAAATTCATTTTTTGTCATTACAAAATTTACCATATGCCTTTTTGAGAAAGGAATTGGGCAGAGGAATGAGGGGACCGCATTGGTTAGCTTAAAATAGAACTTATTGGTATACAGAGATGATGAATATTGATATTGATTGACTGCAACTTTGAGCTGAAATAAGTAAAAAAAGGAATGTTGTGCGTTGACTTTGATATTTTGAGCTATCAGATACTCGTCACCGTTTGATTTCTTCTGAGGCCAATACTGTTACGGACATACCAACAAGTAGCATTTGATAAGAACTGGTCCAAAGAGACAGCTAACGGAACATTCCTTATAAGTATCCGTCTCAGCCGTGCTTGCTTGCTTAACAAGTAACAACTCTTGATTAAATCATGATGAACAACAAGAATTACTCTTTCGTGTTTCTCTTATCTTTTCTTACTCTACCCATCTTTCACTCAACCTCTTGTACACTCGAATGTGGAGGTATTCAGATTCCTTTCCCCTTTGGAATCGAACCAGGTTGCTATCTCGACGAGTGGTACCAAATCGAGTGTCAAAGAAAAGCTGATAACGAGAAAGATTTTCCGTTCCTTGTCAAGATGAAAATGGAGGTTGTGAATATTACCCTTCTGGCGGCCGGTTATTATAGCCCGGAATTTTCTTCAGTTCGTGTAAGAAACCCGATCACATCCGTAGGTTGTTCTAGCGATGGAAAAGAGTCAAGATCGGCTTTGAATTTAACGGACACTCCTTTTTTCTTTGGTGATAAAAACAGCCTCGTAGCTGTTGGTTGCAACACCAAGGCATCGCTGACAAATGTAGAACCAGAAATGGTGGGATGCGAGTCGACTTGCACTACAAGCAACAATGCACAGACCATCCCTTTTTTCAACAAAGTTGGATGCTCTCGCCTTCCCTCCGTTTTCATCACCGGGACCAATTACTACCAAACCATCTTGCCTACCAACTAGGCAACTACGTACCGTTTTGCAATATAACGAGAGAAGAAGATTCGAGAATCTGCAATGGGAACGGATGTTGCCAGGCAAAAGCACCTGGGGATGCTCAACAGATGATTGGTGTCACAATAACAAACAGTGACAATGGAAACTTGACGACTGAAGGAGATTGCAAAGTCGCCTTCTTAACAGACGAAGTATACACTTTATCAAATGAAACCACACCAGAAAAACTTTTCTCTAAGGGATACGCTACTGTTACCCTAGGATGGTTCATCCGAACGAGTAATGCTTCTTTTCTACCATCCTTGGGATGCGAAAACAGAGAAGAATTTGATGCAAAAGACTTTGATATGCGCAAAGCAAAATGCACATGCGATAATCATACAGTTTCTGGTATCAGTTATGGAAGCTGTGCATGTTCTCCGGGTTGCCTGGGTAATCCTTACAGTGTGGGCGACTGCAAAGGTAAGTACTAGTTCCGTAAAATTTTGGAGCTTTAAAGGGAATCTGTAGCAAGCAATGTAATAATTTCTATCATCTGAGTACAATTTCACAACTTTCTTATGCAGAAATTAATATGTGCCTTGTTGATCCATGTGGCAATTTGAAAATTTGCAAGCATACCTCGGCAGGTCGTGACTGCGTGAACCTCCACATTCCAGAAATATTGACAGGTACATCAAAGAATTTTGTTATACATCCAAACTTAAGCATAAACTAAATTTTTGACCCGCTTTTAAAAAGCCAGCTACTATTTTTTGTTTTGTTTTATCTATAGATGGATCGATAAGTCTTTTGCTTTGATGATATAAAATGTTATAGAATCAATATCAAGTTATCATGAGGGTATGAAGAAATTTTTATTTCACAATGTCTCAGATAAATTTTTTATGTTTTCAAATATATTAACAATGGTTATACCTCAAATTTGTACTTGAGAAAAATTGTATATTTAACAATTAAATGACCCATTTTTTTTTAGTTTTGTGATTAATTCATAAAATTTTTTAGCTACAAAGTTTCACTATCTAATATAATTTTTTAAATGCAGATTTTAATTTATTATTATCATCAATATCTATGTAAATGTATTGTATATGATTGTGTAGTTTTATTTGAGAAAAATAATATCAATTAACTACGCTTGATGTTGGGAAGCGGATCAAACTCATTTCGTCCGACCCGCTCTTCAGCGGGTTGAGTCATTTTTACGACTCAAATTTGACCCGTCTGACAAGCAAATAAAATATATTTTTGCATGAAAAAATTTAAAAAATTTGAAAGGGAATCAGCCCATTAATGAAATCCATTATTATATATTTTTAAACCCAAATAAAAATGACAAAAACCATTAATGATAAATTAAATTTGTATATAAAAATAATGGTATAATTGAAAAAGATAAAAAATCATTAAACATAATTTTTCTGTTTTAATGGTATTGATTAGTTTAAATATTTGAAATGATGATCATATACTATTTCTTGTGCTGAATATGCAGGTCTGGGTGCAGGTCTCTTTGTCTTAATCCTAGTTTTTGGATCATTGTGGCTGAGGAAGTTTCGTAGACGGAGAAGGATATCAAAGCGCAAGAGGAATTTCTTCAAACGTAACGGGGGACTATTGTTGCAACAGCAGTTAAATACAACACAAGGCAACGTGGAAAAAACAAAAATATTCACCTCGAAAGAGCTGGAGAAAGCCACCGATAACTTCAACGTTGACAGAATTGTTGGACAGGGTGGTCAAGGAACTGTCTACAAAGGTATGCTTGTAGACGGCCGATCCGTAGCAGTCAAGAAATCAAACGTTGTAGACGAAGACAAACTACAAGAGTTCATCAACGAGGTCATCATTCTCTCCCAGATTAACCACAGGCACGTCGTAAAGCTCTTAGGATGTTGCCTTGAGACAGAAGTTCCTGTTTTGGTTTACGAGTTTATCACCAACGGAAACCTCTTCCAGCATCTCCATGAAGAGTTTGATGACTATGCAGTGCTGTGGGGTGTGCGTATGCGCATTGCAGTAGATATCGCTGGAGCTTTCGCCTATCTGCACACTGCTGCTTGTTCTCCAATTTACCACAGAGATATCAAGTCAACAAACATATTACTGGACGAGAAATACCGAGCCAAGGTGTCTGACTTTGGAACTTCAAGATCAGTTACCATAGATCATACTCACTGGACAACAGTCATTTCAGGTACAGTGGGCTATGTGGATCCAGAATACTACGGATCGAGCCATTTTACTGAAAAGAGCGATGTTTATAGCTTTGGAGTTGTCCTTGCGGAGCTTATTACTGGTGAGAAGCCAGTGATAACACTTTTGAATACTCAAGAAATAACGGGGTTGGCAGATTACTTCAGACTTGCAATGAAAGAGAACAGACTCTTTGATATCATTGATGCCAGGATAAGAAACAATTGCAAGCTAGAACAAGTAATTGCAGTGGCAAATCTGGCAATGAGGTGTCTGAAGAAGGCGGGGAAGAATCGACCGGACATGAGAGAAGTTTCTACTGAGTTAGAGAGGATATGTTCATCTCCAGAGGAGTTTCAGGTGCAAATTCAGATTGATGGGGAAGATAAGTTCAAGTTATTCAGAGGAGATTCTTGTAGTAGCACAGTGACTGCAAGAACAAAGTGATGTATGAAGATTGAAGAGTGTAACTTGATGGTGTTCTCTAAGTTTTGAGTTAATAATGTTTCCAAATACGTTTAAGTTATATTTGTGTTCTTTCTTTTTGCAACCCATTTGATAATGTTATTGATTGTGGTTATGACAGAGGCAACAACTTTACAACATATTTCAGTACCATTGTTTAAGCAAACATCTCTTTACCCATACTATCACATTTAATTAATGTTTAACAGATTATGAACTATAGTTTAGCAGTTAGAAGGAAATTTATGGCTACAGGTGGGTAGATAAACTATGGAAGAAATATAGCTAAGAAAAGTAGTTACTTAACAACTGTAACCAGACAAAAGAAACAAACAGAAGTCAATGCCCGAACCATACACAAAGAACATCGTGTGCATGGTGCGTTCTTGACTCCCACCTCCCACTAAAATTACCATTTCGAACACACAAAAAAGACCACAGAAACAAAAGCTGAACAAGAGAGTGAAAAAAGGAGACAAGTAACCAGATGAGTAATGATTGTCTTACACTCTTTGCTGGCACTGAAGGCAAAATAAGTGCTCAATAACTCCCTTTCTCTGATAATTGAAGACCCTTCTCAGAAATTAATGGCGTCATCAAGCGGTTGGAAGGACAATTCAAAGAGGTTTTAATGTGATGGACAGTGGAACTGATGAGGTTATTAACTGTTTCCATTGACTCTATATTCAATTTTCCTGACTGCAAACTACTCACCATTATCTGAAACCCAACCGTTATCAATGAACCTCCTCCTCCTCCTTCAGTTTTAATCTCTGCAAGTTGATTATTCCTGTTTCCGTCTGGTAAAACAGCAAAACCAGAGGGTAAAATGGGGATGTAAGATGTGTCTTGACCACTCATTGCCATGTTCAGTGCTGGTAAATCCACTGGAGTGTAGACCACAAGTGAGCCTGATGAGTCTACGCAGCTTTCTTGTAGAATCAGCATGTTGTTCTGTGATGATGATGCATTGAATCCCTAATGTAAAAAGTTATCAGTCAATAGTCTCAAGAACTGAAAATAAATGTGTATAAGTAACTTACACGAAGAACAGAAATGCAGTTTCCTGGATGTGAACCGTTTGCTATATGAGCAACTTCTTGAACTGAACTTCCATTCAAAAGAACGTCCCACTATAAAAACCAAAGAAACATTTTAAAAATGTTACACAAAACCATCTTTAACACGTGTAGTAGAAGTAGTAAGTACCTGTGGTCGAGTTCTTTCATCTTTGAGGAAATTGAAGACGATAAGTGGAGAAACAGGGAGCCAGAAGCTGGTGGCAGCACACAGAACCATTCCATTTGGTTCGTGCAGACTCTTATACGAAGTCAAACGGATTCCAAACTCATTCATTCCCGAAACAACCGTTGATCGAGTGTTGTTAGATGTACCAACGCTCAAGCAGAAGTTGCTTACCATTCTTTGAGCAAGTTTCATTATACTTCTCTTCCCTTCAGGTGATGGAATCACCGAGGATGTTTCGGGTTCCATTAGAGCTGTGAATCTTTCACACATTCTTTGGAGAGTAGAGATCCAACGTTCAGCTCCAAAAGCTAATCCTTCACGGACATAATCTTTAAACATCTCATGAACATGTTCTTGCTCTGAGATTTCAACATGTTCAACCCAAGTAACCTGTTTGTTGTTGTATAATAAATGATCCAATCAAATGATCTGAAGATGCTAATAGAACAGAACAAACAGAATAGTTTAAACACAAACCTTGGAATAGCCATTGGACATGTCTTGAATCAAGCAACCAGAAGGAAACCGATATGACCGAGAGTGAGACATAAACTGAGGAAACTCATAGGAGACATTAACAATAGCCCAAGTTCCACGTTCGATTTGCTGACAATATCTTAACACACTGAACTCGCGAGTTGGTACCAATGGTGAAAGCACTTGAAGCACTTCAAGAATCTAACACAAGCCAAAAGCAAAGTTAATCAAAAGTTTACACACAAACAATGATCAATCAAGTGCTTTGTTTTTTTACCAAATGCAATGCATCTCCGTGGCTTCCACGTAATCCAGATGAAACCACTGCAAGAGTTTTAGATTCTGCAATGATCGAGGGGAAAAGCTCTGCAGATTTGACCTGAAAATTAAGGAAATAGCTAAATGAGAAAAAATACAAACCATCTTTGTAAAATCTACAGGTTAGGTTGGTTACTCACAGAGTCCATGAGCATGTCCACAAGAGTCATAGCATTACTGAAAACAATACCAGAAGATCTACTTGCTTCCACTCGAGAGTTATGGTTCTTTCCTCCACGGCTTCTTGATCTTGGGAACATATTCTCATAGCTTTCGAGACTTAAAACGTCTCTGACTCCATCTGTTTTGATCCATAGAGGCTCATTTGTTTGTGTAAGCCTAAGCAACTCTTCCATAGCGGCCACAGCAATGTTGGTCATCAGAGACTTATCAATCTCTGACAAAACCAAGTTTTGTTGAGATGGTAAAGTAGGAACAGCCATTGAAGAATAACTTCCTGGAAGAAGATCAAAATCAAGAGAAGGACCACTGTGATTTAGTAGTAGTGGTGGGAGATGAGAAAATGGTCTCCCCATGAATCTAGCTGCAATGCTTGAAACCCTTTCAAGCTACCAGAAAAAAAAACATTAGTTGTTAATGAAAGTTTAAACTCTTAAAAGTCAAAACCACAATGCATGGAGATGGTTTCAAAAGCTAGAACCTCTTCTTTAAGCTGTCCATTTTCGATTCGGAGCTTCTGTTCATCAAAGTAAGAGTCTTCATGAAGAGGAGCATCACCACAAGTGGGGCAAATGGTGTGTTTGAGAGCTTCTCTAATGGCAATGTTTTCGCAACGAATCCTATCGTTCTCTTCCTTGAGTACACAGTTATCAGCTCTCTCGTGTTGTGCCTGTAACAAGAAACCATGAAGAGAGGAGACAAAGCGAGGAAGAAAGAAAGTTAAAAAAGTTGCAAAACCTTCTTTTGTGTTCTTCGGTTTTGAAACCAAAACTTGATCTGTCTTGGAGCTAAACCCAATTCTCTACTGAGTTGCATTCTCTGTTTCTCATCTGGATGTTGACACTCATTAAAAGCTCTGCAAACAAAAAAAACAAAACTCATAAAAGAGAAAAAGAGGTGAAGAAAACAAATGAGTAGAGATGAAAGAGAGAGTACGATTCAAGGCGTTGGATCTGGTGAGGTGTGTGACGGTGGAAACGTTTCTTCTTCATTGTCTTCTTGTCCGTTTCAGAGCTGTCTCCAAGAAACTCCATCTTCCTTCAAAGTTTAATGTGTTGTAGACAAAGAAACGTAACAAACCCTTTTTTTTCTCTTTACTCTTTAAATCAAACAAAGGGAACTAGCTAAAATGTGTTCAAAAAAAAAAAAAAAGGGAACTAGCTAACTCTGGACAAGAAATGTAACGGTAGAGAATCTGTAAAAAAAGATGTGGAAGGGATGAGCAAAAGGCGAGATTTGCTATAACACAAAGAAGAATCCATATAGCCGTAGTTAATAGTAGTTATGTTCTTTAAAGAACCAATGAAGAGAGAGAGAGAGAGAAATAAATCTCTCTGGGTCTTTGATATCTCGAGCCTATCATAAGCAAGGCATTAGCCATTAGTGCTTTCATCACTCCCACCTTTCCCTCCTTTTACATTCATTACTGACTCCAAAACCTCTCTCTCTCTCTCTCTCTTCCCTTGAGAAATTGTGTAACTGATACTGATAGGATTTAATGGTGTGGGTTTTAAATTCTCTTGATTGTTTCTCCATTACTGCCAAGTACTGTCTGAAACCAACCTTCTCTCACTCTCTCTCACTACCTTTATTTAAAATTGTCGGAGAGTAAGCCGTTGGTGAGTTTTATACACTTTCTCCGGCGAGTTTTCTAAAGGTCATGTAACTTTTCTTTGGGATTGCTGACCTCATCTTCTCTTTTTTTTTTTTTAATTTTTATAATTAGTCTCATATAGGAGCAAAAGAATTAAAATTTTAATACTGTTTGTAAAAATATTTTCAGACAAAAAAACAACTAAACTGGAAATAATCCGTTTTTTTTTTTCATAAACTAAAACAGTGAAACCTCTCTTGAATTTGTGTACCAACCTAACTACTTTTTAGATACCAAACCAACATCTCTCTACTTCTAAAGTCAAAACAATTACCAAGAGTTATAAGAATGCTTGCTAAAGTATAGTATAAACTCAAGTGAGCAACTTCATATCAATCTTCTACTCTCAATGCATTTGACATAGCCGTCACTGATTCTTCAATTGCTTCTCTCTCCCACCTGGTCGAACTGGAGTATAGCAGCTTGCTACAAAAAGAAACAACAATAGTATAAATCTAGCAAGTGCCATTCCACTTACTTTTGAAGAAATCAATTTCGTTCTTGACCTACAAAGTAGTAGATTATCTTTGATAATTTCTGGCACAATGTCAAGTAAAACGAATGTATAAGAATGCAAGTAACTAACTCTTACAGTTGATGGATCTAAATCGTCAAGTGTCTTGCGATACTTGAATAAGTCATTCTTGGAACAACTCTGCTGTTGCCTTCCTTTCCACAAGAGTGCCAGAGGAAACTGACGTGTGGTTCTTTTTGGCCGGTCAATATTCAAGTGAAAGTAACACTCCAACACCGAAAATAGTAGTAACACAATTAGAGTTTACAGAACTAATCAACAAGAGACAACATGAACAGAAAGAAAACCTGTAAAAGTGTCAAGCATCCACCTATCATAACTCTGAGACCGTTGAGAAGCCTCACTAATCTTGCATAAAGAAGAAATCTTAACGCAGCAGAACCCCAAGCATATTCTCCAGCTTTCTCAAACAGAATAGATATCCACAGAGATCTTAGTTGGATCCGTAGTTACGAAAATCGTGTTACCAGCAAGATATATAAGATAAGCACGAGTATGATACTCAACTTCTTTATATTATGTCCCAATTAAAATGATGATTGGTATGATATGGTTTTTCACTTATGCTTTACCTCAATTTCCAACTTAAACCATTCAAAAATAAAAAATAATTGTTTTCTAAGGGTTCTGGTGAATTTTTTCTTGAAAGATTCATAATTATTTCTAAATGGTTGAGAATTTATTTTGACAGGTTCATAATTATTTTTGGAAGAAGGGTCTATAATTGTCTTCTGAGTGGTTCATAATTGTTTTATAAACAGTTCACAATTGTTTATGAAAGATTCATAATTATTTATGAATGGTTCAAAATTGTGTTTTGAAGTGTACAAAATTGTTTTCTGAATAGTTCAGAATTGTTTATGAGAGATACTTTTTTTTCTGACGGGTACATACTCCCTCAATTTCAATTTATTTGTTATCATAGAGAATTTTTTTTTTCAAAATAAGATTTGTTTTATGATTTTAATACAAAATGTATTATATGATGTTTTATTTTTCTATTGATTTAAATATGGTGAGGTTTATCAGTAATGATATTTTATATATTTAAATATGCAAATTTAAAAATTTTCTTAATTTTTATGCAAAAACTTAAAATGAAACATAGAGAATAATTATTTTCTGAAGGTTCAAATTTTTTTTTTGAATAATTCATAATTGTTAATGAATGACTCATAATTATTTCTAAAGTGTACATATTTTTTTATAAAGGATACATAATTATTTTTTGAATACTTAATGTGTGATGCAGCTTGTGTTAGTCCAACTATTACAAATATTAAGAAAACACTATATACGCTGAGGTATGCAAATTGTGTTTGCAATATTAAGTTTTTGTAATTGTAGTTGTATACTTATATTATTCTGTAATTGTCAACCAATATCCGATGCAGCTTGTTTAATATTTAGCAATTACAGGATTTTACTATAAGCTTGCTACAACGGCTAATTGCACTATATTTTTTTTTGTTAATCGAGTATCTTGACCCCACCGAATTAATTCAGACTAGAGACTAAAGTGGTCAAGGATCAGTAAGTTGGCCACCATGTGGATCACTGTATAACGACTTTCGGTCTCGGACGCTGTAACCCATATGTTAAATCCACAATGGATAGGAATCGAATCAAGGTAGTGATACTCACAACGTGAGCACTTTACCACCATGCTAGATATTTCGGTTAATTGCACTATATATAAGGTAATTTTTTGTAATTGCACTTTTAAAACCTTATATGAGAATGCTGTAATTGCTAAATATTATTCTAAATTTGAATCTCACCTCTAGAATATTTTTCTATGAGTGAGCAAATTAAATATCCAAAATAGCACTTTCAAAAATTTATCTAAAAATAGCACCTTAAAACATTCAAAAATAGCACTCATTTATCCAACAAAATAGCACTCATTTGCTGACGAAATTGTTACTTTTTATCCTATGTTCTCCACATTCAGTGTGGCAGTGTCAAACTGTTATTTAACCGTGGTTAGAATAGCAAATATGATAATAGCTCAATCTTGAACTTTTGCAACCAATTGCCTCCTCGGATCTCTTCGAAGTTTAGTGTGTTTCAACCATGGATATTACAGAAACACGACAATTAATGTGTGAGCTTTAAGAAGCAAGAAAAAAAGGCTAGAAAACATGACAACCCAAAACACACACACAGAAGGACATGTCCGTGACGTAATGTAACGTAGATCGCTTTCTATTTACTCACGTCGTTGTGCATAGAGACTACACAACTCCATCAAATCTGAAGTATGAGTGGAGAACTCCTTCAAAACGAATATATTTCTCAGTCATCCATATTTAATATTTTTCTCAAAATGTCCTCTTTTCTCATCCCATTGTTGGACACTAATAAGATTATTATCGCTTCCGTGACCTCGGTAGTCTTCATTGCCTTTGCCTGTCTAACATTCGCAGTTTCGGTCGTGGCATTAGCTGTATGCACACCGCTTTTCATCATATTCAGTCCCATTCTCGTTCCCGCGACTATAGCGACTACTCTCCTAGCCACTGGGCTCACGGCCGGTGCCACGCTCGGACTGGCCGCTATTGGCCTCATCATAGGGCTCATTAAGTAAAACTAAAGAAACTTTTTTGATGTTAACTAAATTTTTGCTCATATTTTATTCACATACATGCAAATGCTAGTCTAAGTCAGATTTAATTACTACTTATTTAGAAGCCACAAATTTAAAGGCGATCGTAGCTTGTGATTTCTCAATTTGAGTTCGATCAGCTCCCCCACATGTCTCTTTCTAAATCATTTCAAAAAACTTAAGCTAACTTCTTTAATTATCTTTCTCTCTTTTGTCTATGATTCTTTTTACATATGCTACCTATTTTTGAGCTAGTTACATCTTATTATTGTTATTAACTCTTTTTGAAAATGAACTGATTTAGCTGTCTTTTCTTTTAAAACCTCTTTGTGTGTGTGATAGGACTGCGGAAGGAACTCCGTTGGCTCTGTCAGCCCAAAGACCATTGAAATTGCTAAAGTTTTCTGGTGGATTTTGGACATTCTCAGGATCATTCGGTGAAATTTTAAATTGGTTAAAAGTACACAAACTTATACCAGCAGGCGGAGCTGCACCACCACCGGCAGCCCCAGCTGCACCACCACCAGCAGCCCCAGCTGCACCAGCACCGGCGGCCAAAGCTGCACCACCACCGGCGGCCGAAGCTGCACCACCACCGGCGGCCCCAGCTGCACCACCACCGGCGGCCGCAGCTGCACCACCACCGGCGGCCCCAGCTGCACCACCACCGGCAGCCCCAGCTGCACCACCAGCGGGCTGAGTCGCACCCCCAGCGTAAGGAACATTGTTCGAGCTGTTCCAACGTGCATGTAGCATACTTAAATTAATTGTCTATTAGGATTTTATGACTCGAAAACTAAAAAGAGAGGAGCCTTTTGAATACGTTTTACGTAATTTTGAATCTGCTTATATATTTGTATTGATAGAGGTAAAAGACTAATACAAAGTAATTTATTGGAAAAAAAAAAGTAAATGCGGTAACACTTAATTGCGTTTTCTCTAAAAAAGCTTTAACGATTTGTATACGTAGAGTTAGCTTGAGGCTGTTGAGAAGTACAAAGTTGAGACTGTTGGCGAGTTTTTACAGTGTAAAGTTGTAATAGATGTTTTTTGGGTTGACGGTTTATTAATCAATCAGTTAGCATTTGTTGGTTGGCTGTAAGAGATGGTTGTGAAAATATGTTCTGGCGGTTCAGTGTAGTCTTTTGAGATGGCAAAATAGTTCATTTAGCTATTTAAGGATCATGTGCTAGTTCTGTGTAAGTTTCCTTTCGAGTGCAATTCAATCGTTCAACGGTCCTACATTCAGAGTGTAATTGATATTCATGAAATTTGCTAGTTCACTGATTATTATCTCTTTGATTCTAGTATCCTTGTTTCGCCTTTTGCTTAATATCTGATCAACTAACTTGTTAAAAGACCTAGACCGGTTCATTGTAATCAGGATCCAGTTTGTTTTTTTTTTTTTTTTGAAATGAAGAAGAGATTCACAAGTATAAGAAGAAATGTTATAGGTATTCGTTATGAATATTGATAGATTGTATTGACTTTTCTTGCCAACTAACTCTACCTGTTTTCCTACTAAACTTCACCAGTAATTTAATTCTGGTTTTGTTTCTCCGATACACACGTGCAAGTGAGCTTTAAAACAATTTGATTAAGACTTACCTAGTATCTAATCGGTTAATTAATTGGAATTTAAGCTATATTTTCAATCATTCCTTAAAAACAACCTATAAACAGTTTTGCAAGCAATCCCAAGTACAACATATCACCTTCTTCAGGTTTTCAACTTTATTCCATCTTTTATTTATAATTCATAATAATTTTGAGTTTTCTTAGGCTTTTGGATGTGGGACATGTGTTGAAAATACAAAACCTGATGAATACAAATTTCATATTTTTATAGAACATATGTAATTATATTTGTTTGAGGGCTTATAGCATTTCCAGTGAAAAAATTTCAACATTAAGTTCTTTCCTTTTAGTGATGAATCAGAGTACTAATTTCTGTAGAAAAGAGGTAAAAGTAAATCACACAAACATGGTGGAGTAGTATAGTGGATTTGAAAAGATGTTAAGCATCTCGGATTCCAAATCTACCAAATTCAGATTTACTAGTTTGTATATATATTCTGACACTCTAAATATTCAATTCTGGCTGTAAGCAATCAGGTATGTCTGACGCCGATTAACAAGATTCCATATGATTAGTCGGTTGGTTGCGGTCTATTAAATACCTTGAATTATAAAAAAGAAGGGAGATAAAAGTAATGTAAGTGACGTGCCATGAGACCAAATGTCTGAACAAATAAGATGCGACGTATTGTCATAAAAGATTTCTTGACATATCATTCAGTCAGCCAATTAGTTAACCAAGACACAGACTCGTTTTAGGGTTTCCGCGTTGGTCCGAATTGAGAATAAAGAAACATTTGGTTCGGTGTGAAAGGTATACGTGACCTGCAATTAAACCACAGGTCCCCCACATCTTTACCAAACTCTCTCCTTCTTCACCAGTTTTTCAATTTAGAAAAAAATGTGTTGTCAATCTCGGAAGCTAAAAAGCATGTTAGTATCTTGTAACGGCCATTAGTTATACCAAAGAAATACGGTTGAAATTTATTCATCAAGTTTGATATCCACAAATCCTGGAATAATAAACGTTTCTTTTTCTTAATTTATTATCATTTCATATCGGAGAAACACTAACGAATTTATGTTTTCTTATAATCTTGTACAAATTACAATCGTAGAATAAAAAAAATAAAATATTGCTGCGTTTAGCTATATTTTTCAAAATGAACTTCTTTGTAAATATATATTTAACGTCTGCAGCGTAAACGTATATTCGTTGTGCCAAATATTGTTTTTGTTTGGTAAAAATGTTAAATTCATTTACCATATATATTGTTGGGTCATATATTGTTCGTAGTACTTCCCAGTTTGAATCACGTTCTAGAAGTTATCAGTAATATATTTCAAGCTACTAGCTATGAAATACATATATACGGTTATGTGATTAATATATATGTGTGTGTAGCTTCAGAAAGGTAAGCAAACGTAGATGAAGTATTGGTGGCTGAAGTAGAGGGCTTAGGTTAGAAAAATAAAAATATATTTAAGAGTAGACGTTGAACGTTTAACGAAAATCACCCCACCAAGCAATCTCTCCTATCCATTTGTGTAATCTTTTTTTTTTTTGTAATATTAATTTCAACTTTAAATATTCCACATAAACAGAAATTGATAATGGAAAAATTTTATAATAAATAAAAAAGAAAGAAATAGACGGGAAATTTTTTGTAAAAGGTAGATTACTTAAAAGAGAGTGTGTGGTTAGGGAAGACGTTGGCATCAAACGCAGGTGAAAACGTCCCTCCAAACTCTCTCTAACGAATCTTATAATATTCATTTATTTAATTTCTCCATTATATGTATGGTGCTGTTGGTCTTCAGCTTTCTTCTTGTTCCTACATACCCATCTTCCCTCACCTACATCAAACCTAGGGTTTCTTATATATATCAACATATATAATAGACATCTATGTATGTGTATTTGTAATTAACCATAAGATCATAGAGACAGAGAAAGCAGAAGAAATAAAGAATGATGTGCACTCGAGGCCATTGGAGACCTGCAGAAGATGAGAAGCTAAGAGAACTCGTCCAACAATTTGGTCCTCATAATTGGAACGCCATAGCTCAAAATCTCTCTGGTCGATCTGGTAAGAAAAACAACTTAAAAACAATTTACTTCAATTTAGTATAGTAAATACCATCTCATGTGGTTTGTTTTTTATTTATATTTTATTTCTTAGGTAAGAGTTGTAGATTGAGATGGTTTAATCAACTGGATCCTAGAATCAACCGAAACCCTTTCACTGAGGAAGAAGAAGAAAGGCTTTTAGCGTCTCACCGGATCCATGGGAATAGATGGTCCGTGATCGCAAGATTTTTCCCCGGTCGAACTGATAACGCTGTCAAAAACCATTGGCACGTTATTATGGCTCGTCGTGGTCGAGAACGGTCCATGATGCGTCCACGTAGCCTTGGCCATGATGGGGCGGCGGCTGGCCCTGGGATGATGGGATATAAAGACTGTGACAAGAAGAGAAGATTGGCAACCACAACAGCTATCAATTATCCTTATAATTTCTCTCATATCAATCATTTTCAAATCCTTAAAGAGTTCTTGACTGGAAAGATCGGGCTTTGCAATAATACCACTCCAATCAATGAGGGTAATTAAATCAATATGCCTTGAATTTGTGTGTTTTTGTAGATAGATTGATGCATAACAAAAACATGTGTATATACAACATACAAACTTATAACCATTAGATATGTACATTCGTTCTTTTAAAACATGCAACTAGTATTTTCGTATATACCCTGATTTTGTTTTTTTCTCAAAATTTATTTGAGTTTATATGAATTAGAATTCATGTCTTTTTTCTGGAAACATTCATTTATTTTTTAGTTATTTAATTAGTAAAGAGTCTTTAACTATCTTTCTGAAATAAACATGATTATTTTCGTAATTAACATGGTATATCATTATATGCATACATTAACTTGTGCGTATACGATTATATAATTGTAAAACTTCTAAAAGCTAACTCCATGGACATGAATCATTTGGTCAGGAGCAATAGACCAGACTAAAAGACCGACGGAGTTCTACAATTTTCTCCAGGTTAAGACGGATTCGAAGAAACCTGAAGTGATAGACAATTCAAGAAAGGACAAAGAAGAAGAAGATATTGAAATTTGTGTTCCCTTTTTCGACTTTTTGTCTGTTGGAAACTCTGCCTCTCAGGGTTTATGTTAATTAGTTCGTACCACATGTACTATATACAAGGTGGATCATATGTTAATAATGACATGTAGAACTTACAAATCAGTTCGAGCTCTTATTTGAGCCAAATGTGAAAATTAGACAGCCCAACTTCTTCTTGTACATCAGACCTAAGATTGTATTTTTATATAGGTTTAGTTTGCTATGTTTATTCTAAAAATGTTCAGTCCAGACAAACATACTCGGTCGATAACTTCTCTTTTTCTTTTAAAGATAATTAAATCAAACCAGTCGACAACATTCTTGAGCAGAAACTTAATTAACTGATTCGGAAAACTTATTCAAGTTTAAGGAAATGTCGTGAAACCAAACATAATCTGAACCAACACCAAGAACCTACCAATCTGCTCTTGTTTTAATTTAAACTCGTTTTAGCTATGTCTTGTCTAAGCCAGAACCAATACTATACCAAATGAATTTCCTTAATTACTGCACTTATAATTTCCTAGGCGGACTATCTTTGACTCGTATAACTTGTGACGATGAAGCTCTAATCTTTTTGGTAAATAGATGTAAAAGGGAACTTTTACAAGAATTGGTTTAGCTTAGTTTCACTTATTGTGAAGTTGTAAGTTAATAACGGCATATGAAACCGAGGTTGGAGTGTAGATATGATTAAGTTGGGAGCAGTTATCAGCCACCAATTCAAAGTAGCAAATCTACCCCTTTCTTAAGAAAACACGAATATAATAATACGTTTTATTTAGGTGGAGATGAAGAACACACATCTTGACACGACTTGTAACCATACTTTTCATTATTAAATTAAACACACCCTTTTCATTTTGTTTTTTTCCTCTGAATTGATGTCATTATGGTTGCTAGGATATCCTCATTGAGTTAAACATGTATGTCACATTTTGTTTAAGACAATACGAAAAGACAACCCAAAAATATAAGTAACTGTCTATACATATTTTATTATATATGAAAGATAATTAAGCAAAACGTTGATTATTGTACGTACAAATATGTTGAAATCAGTCATATTTGGATAAGATTAAGACACCCAATATACATTTCTGATTATATGTATATTATCTCATCCTAGAATAATTTTTAAAAGTGCGTATAAAGTCTTGGACTATGTCATAAGTTTTTTCCTTTGTTGTAAAAAATCTAACTCTTCTTGGTGAAAAGTGAACATTTTGAGATATCACGAAAAATCATCTCTCCAATTCACTTTTATTTTCAAAACTACTTCTATTGTTTTTACTCTTTAACAATATTTTATTTTAGTTTGCTAATAAGGTATGCGGTCTACCACACAAATCAACCTATGAGCCACATCTATAGACTTCAGTTGTTTTGTAGATTGTTACACATAGTTTAAACAACAAAATTCAGAGAAAGAGCATCTTACTAAGTTCAGTGATTTTCTTAAACAACTACTTAACACACCTTTAAAGTCACTATTAGAAAACATCTAAAGTACCTGATCATTGGTCACTTCAATCGTTTTAAATGGTTGTTCTTTCTAAAATGTAGATAGCATAGAATTAGAAACATTAGCTAAATTGATAAAATAGATGAGTCACATCCTTTGTCAACAGATGAGTCGCATCTAAATTCAGTTTCAAGTCATCAAAGTCCATTTTGGTATAACAACTACACGTCTTTGTGGGCTTATTATACCCATAAAGCTTTGATATAACAGTAACACATCGTAGACAAAAGAAAAAAAAAAACAGTAACACATCGTTGTGACGCCCAAACGGGAAAACCAAACTTTAAAATGGGCTTTTATATGTGTAGCTTTGGGTTCTCAAAGGACAATTCGCTCTATTTACGTTACAAGTCATCATCATAGTCAAAATCTAGTGATAATTGATTCTGACAAGTCTTCTCTTCTATGTAGAAAAAAAGGAAACAGATCTGACAAAAGGACAAAAGCTACATAAGACCTTTCCCATTTTTACAAGCAAGCATCAGTTTCAAAATTTTAAAACTTTTCAATTGAATTATTTAATTAAAGAGAAAAAGTAGCTAAGAAAATCCCACAAAATAATTAAAAACCCAGTCAAAATACTCAAATTACTTCATTTTTTAAATAGTTTGGTATTATATGTTATTTAACATATGAAAAAATCGCATGTAATACGCATATACATATTTTATTGGTGCACATTTGCATATACAAATTAGATACTGTATTTCTGATTCAATCTCTTACAAATTTTAAGCAAAAAAAAATAAAGAAACCTCTTATAAATTTCACAAGATATGCATGAGCTGAGTTTAATTTTGTTTGGAAGTATACTAACGGTTGTAAAACAAAAGTTGTTTAAAGACAAACAAAAGTTGTTTAAAGACAAACAAAAATCACGTTAATTTTATATTTGAAAAAAAATTGTAATCATAATTCGAAATATATAAACACACACTATATATATATATATATATATATATTTTCTCTTTTTTCTTTTTAAAATCATCACTTCATCAGCTTGAAAATCATTATATCTCATCTGTCTTCCCCGCGCCACTGCTCTTACCCCACACTTCCTTTATCTCTCTCTCTCCCTACTCTCTGTTCACTCTCTCTCTCTCTATCTCTCTCTGAGAATGTCTACGACAACAATCGGCGAGCACATCAGACTCCGCCGAGCTAGGCACCAAACCAACCGTCACAACGCCGTCGACGATGATCCGCCGCTGACACACGTCGTCCCTCCAATGTCCCAACCAAATCGCTTCTGTAACTCCGCAATGTCCTCCAACGAACCCACAAAGAAGAAACAGCTCGGTTTCCCTCAAGCTGCCTCCTTTCGTGGCATGAACTGCACAGCCGCAGCAGCAGCTCATGAGGTCTCTGTTCCCACCGTGATTCGCTCCTCCGCTGATTGGGATGCGAGAGTTAGAAAGGAAAACAAGAAGAAGAAGAAGAAGAGGAACAAGAAGAAAGGAAGCTACGAGGATGGTTCGGTTAGGTTCTTAAGTGAGACCAGAGACGTTGATTGTGTCGCGGTTCCTGACGTTTGGTGCGGTCCAGGGATAGGGTTCTCGACGGATGCTGTGTCGGTGGATCCTCCGAGAAGGAATCTTGCGTCGTCGCGTCGTAAAATTGACGTGGAGAAGAACGGTTCTAATCAGACAGAGGTAAAGGTGTTAGCTTTATGTTCTGTATATCTAATTGCAAGTCAAAGTTTGAGTCTTTTTTTATTTTTTATTTTTAGCATGAAAAAAAAGGTCTAGTCTTTTCTTTTGGTGGTGAGTTTAGTTTAGTTTATTACAGGGGAGTGTTAGGCAGAAACTGTTTGGAGTGGTTGGAGCTATAGTAGTTGTAGCATCCCTATGCTGTTCTTGCTGGGGACCATTTTGGTTTATAGAAATTTTTGTGTTTGTGGTTTGGATTCTCTTCTAGACAAATCACAAGGGTCTACTTTAGTGGAGAGATTTTACTTTTATTATTAGTCTCTTTGTTTATGATGAAGATAATATTTTGTTTTCATGTGTCGTGGTCCTCTGGGGTTTATTAAAAGCTATAAACAATTCAGAAATGAGAGCTTAGAGAATGGAATCTTACCATCTTTTTGTCTGAGCTTGGTTAGAGGATTGAGTGTTAGAATGGTTTAGCATATGTTTTGAACAATAGTAACAAATTGTTACAAATGTCTGCAGGGTTCTTCTGTTCTTACTAGGCGGTTTACCAATCAAGAATCTCATTCTCACGCATTAATGAACTCTGATTCGACGTTTATGGCATCCTCACACGTTGAACCAACGTTGTTCTCAAGTAGATACCAAGGCCATCTTCGGCGCCCTTACCCTGATGATCTTACCGAGGTAGAATGTTCTGTCTATAGTATTGTAGATTTGACTCCTGACTCTTTCAAGTGGTCAAACTCACACTGGTTGAAGTTTTAATATCAGTGAATAAGTTGAAGAACTAAGTCATGTTTTTAAAAAATATATATGCTGTCTGCTGCAGATGTTGATGCTGCGGAATGGTTTTGTAATGGAGAGGACAACAGATTCGCGTGATCACTTCCACAACTTGAGGCTTGATGTTGATAACATGTCATACGAGGTATGTTTCTCAAAAGACAAAAAATCTCATGAGAAAAAGCTTACCATTTCCATTTTCTCAACTTTATTACTGAGTGTGTGTTTGCTTGGATCTCTACACAGCAACTACTAGAGCTTGGTGATAGAATTGGTTATGTGAATACTGGACTAAAAGAGACTGAGATACGTAGTTGTCTTAGGAAAATCAATCCATCTGTATCAAACACTCTTCTTGCTGATAGAAAATGTAGCATCTGTCAGGTAAAGTCCACTCCATTTCTTCTCAAAAATTCAGAAAGATTATATTGCTTGTATGTTAATGAGTTTCATATTGCTGTTCCTCACTAATGTTCATGTTGGTGGTGACAGGATGAGTATGAGAGAGAGTGTCAGGTTGGGAAATTGGAGTGTGGACACAGCTTCCATGTCCAATGCGTGAAGCAGTGGTTATCGAGGAAGAATGCTTGTCCCGTCTGTAAGATGACAGCATTCGTCAAGCGTTGAGAGATTTGTGTCTTGTTTAGTTTATGATGATACCTTAAGGTCTTTCTTAAAAGCTGTATAAAACCAAATCATCTGATTCTTTATTTCATGCGTGTTGTTTTGTGATTTAGCAGTCAGTTATGTGTGTTTCTTGATATTGTTTTCCTTTGTCCTTTGTTGGAGTTTTCTTATATGATTGAAATACAATTTATATAGTACTTGTAAGAACAAGAGTTTTGTGACCCTGAAGATTCTGCAGCTTCTTATTTCTTTTTAGTACAATCATCATCCCCTTATACTATTGTATTGCACTTTAGGATTAAAAATCATGAATTTGAACCAGCGTAAATAATCTGGATTTTACTATATATTGAAAGATACAAATTAAGGATATAAGAAAAACAAGGTGAACAGAAGAAACATTTGTTAGATAGGATACTTGAAAAATATATAATTAATTTTTGTCAAAACCAAATATTATAGTATGCATTAATTCGTCTGTGAAGTAGGAAAGGAACTCTTGCAAGTGTTAACATAGACAACACGTTATATTGAAATCTTCTGATTCTTATCAAATGAGTGTTACAACGAGCTAAGTATTTTAGGACTTGCTTTAAACATATAAGAGAAGCATATAATATCAAATTCTTCTTTTACATAAAGTAGGAAGAAGCCTTCAACTTGAGCTCTGAGATTCTTGGCAATGTAGGGAAGACCATTATTACTTGCCGTTGGCTTTGCCTAGAGACGTGAAGTTCAATCTGCGACAACAAAAAAACAATCAAACGTTTGTCAAATTCGATATGAAGATTCAAACTAAAGTATAAGAGTACAAACTGCTTACTTGATTATCGGTTTGCGCTGTTGCACGGAAGCTCTATGCGTCACCTCGGGCTGTCCCATTGGAAGAACCTTTAAGAAAGAACAATCAGACAAGAACAAACTCAAGAGACTAGTTTAAGTATAGGAATTGGCTTTAGAGAAAAAGTACCTCGAGTTCTTCTACTGCTTCATAAGAGAATGGTGAGCCATTTGAAGTAGTGGCGTCAAATGTAGGTATCGTTGCACTAGCCGCCAAGACTGTATCCTTATTTGAAATCTGCTCAATCACTTGGTTTCCAAAATCAAAACTGTCTTCAAGCTCCTCCGTTTCTTCACTAGGAGCTTGAGGAGTGGCTATCTTCTCTATTGGGTGAGTCTCTGCTGCATCCTTACTGAAAAGAACAACATTCTCTGGTGGATCCTTACTGATAGGATCAGATTTACCGTTTGAACAACAATCTTTCAGAGGACTAGAGCAAATGGATGGATTCGGGCTCCCGCCTTCACCATTCTCTACAGGCATTGCAACTGCAACGTGTTTAGAGTTCCTTAAATGACCCGTGAGTGTCTCATCGTCTCCTCGTTTTCGCTTCTTCCCATCTTCTGAGCTGTTAGAACCACCTTTACTTTCAGAACTCGCTTCATTTGTTGTAGTAGTAGTAGCTGCACTCGCTGTAGTAGAAATCCTGTTCTCTGAACGGCGTTTGCTGTCCCATGTTCCTTTAGAGGTATGTGAAGGTCTGACTCCACCAGGAAACACAAAGCTAGGAATACTTCTTCGCTTTATATGGCTGACACTAATCTCCATTCCGGGAATCCACAGCATGTAACCGTTAACAGTGTGTTTAAACTCCTCAACGGTTCTTCTGATATCGAATTGCTCGCCTTCTGCTGCTGGAACACCTTGTTTACGCTGCAGACCCATGAAGTAAGAGCAATGGAGTGGTCTGGATGCGTCTTGATAATCGTGTGTATGAGGATGGCATTGCAGCATGTCGTAAGTATGTCTCTCAATCTAAGAGAACATTGTAAATATCCAAGTCAAATAATCAGTCATTCTAATACAGATCTTTATTAATATCAACAAGAGTTTCACCTTCAGTGTGAGCTGTCTGAGACGTGACTCAACCCAGCCTTTCCATTTTCTTAGATCATCTACATTTGCAGCAGAGATGTCGATCTGAAGATAGTTTTTATAAGCTTCAAAGAATGCAAATGGCTCAAAAAGGGTATCCCAGTCAGCGTTGTTTGCTTCCATAGCCTGCAAGACATCAAACGAATGTCATACGTCAATCAATTTGCATAGAAGCCAGGACTATTATGAATATCTAAGTCTTACCTCACATATATCTTTGCCTCTCTGAAACTCTCCTGTCATAATCCGCAATGTACTTGCAGAGACGTTATAACTTGAGTTCATACCAGGATAAGCGGGAGTAATGATGGGCATCATATGCAACCTGTCTTTTGGGTTTCGTCTAGGATCCCAAACTTGAAGACCGAGGGATCCTTCATCCATAGAACAGAGAAGGACAGGATTTGGCCAACGCCATTGAGTGTAGACCCTGAAGAACCGAGACGCTAACATATTCGGGAGTGCGTTAGGATAAAGTTGACATATCCGAGCTACTAGCAACGCCCAGTTTATACCACCAAGAAATCCAGAGACCTAGCAAATTTTCAGAGAAAGACTTTACATTAGTTTATAGTCACAAATATGAAATGGAAGTAAAAGAATAGAGAAGAGTTGTCAATACATTAGAGTATACTCCACGTCGCTTAGCCCAAAACCTCATGCATCTTAATGTTGTCCTGAAATTCTGCTCATAAGTAAAACATAGATTCCGAATTAGGAAACTTATGGATGAAGTTTAAAAGTTTTATAAAACTAAGAGATGTATCATAAGTGAGCACAAAACCTCAATGTTGGGAACCAGACGCAAGATCTGGTCAGTAACTCTACAACCGTTAAGGCTTCGAACAGTTTGCTCATCAGCATTCTGTAGAATGGAATCATGTAATATATCTAAATCCTGCAACGTTAACAACAGGCAGGGAACACATTTAATATTCTTCCAAATGATCCACTCATAACATCAGTTCGAAACCATGATCATATTGAAAACAGCATGAAAGATTATTAACCATAAGAATAGTGACACAGAAATTACCTTAGGTATAACCCAGAGCGGAAGTTGTGCATATAGAAGATCAATAGAAATTCCATTAAGTTTGAATCCCATCAAGGGAACGTGAGCATCAGGAACAGGGTGCAACTCAGTTACTTCAGGCATTTCAGACAGCATCCTATGTAGCTCACCAAAGAAATCACCCTATTGGCAATATAAAGAAGAGTGAACTTAATAAATCTAACATAAGACACATTCAGACCGACGTATAGATGCAAGAGGTTAGTAGTACTTCTCTAGTCGCATGTCTAGGCCCCACACATAACGTGTCTATATCAGCACCAGGTCCATGTACCTATTTTGAAGAAGTAAAACAAACTGTTAAAGGAACACTAGATATGATGTTATTCATGTTACACAGAACAATAATCAACTGCAAGGGAATTCTTTACGACACAGACTGTTTAATAATAATATTTTTCTCTCCAAATACCAATTGCAACCTTAAATAACACCCTAGTGATTTAGCAATGCCTGAAAGCTCGTACAGTAAGGATACAAGTGACATATAAAATTGATCTCAAATTCTCAATATGTATGAATAAAGTAACACGAGAGAGAATGGGAAGACAAGTGATGCCCCTTCCCACACAGGAATATCTAAAGACAACAGAAGAGTATATCCTTTCTCTCTACACCAAAGAGTTCACAGTACAAAAAGGAATGAGTAAAACGAAGTTAATCTATATGGTTACCCCTAGACGATAAGAACCGAAAGTAAATATCTCTGCATTCGCCTCATGAAGCAGCTGATCATTCAAACCTTTAGCACGGCTGATTGTTTTAATCCATGTTTTTACAATCTGCACACATAACAAAGAAGAACTTACCATGGATTTGTTACAAACATCAATGAAAAATCCATAGTCACAATTAAGAAAGTAACAAAACCTGATCTAGTCTGCCTAGAACCTCCTCCCTTCTAACAGCTTCCTCCTTCCCCTCATACAATCCAACATCTTGCAAGTACTGAACAACCAAGTAACACAAGACTATGATACAAGTAATTCAACAAGAAAATTATAACATAACCAAAACATAAGCTTTTATTTGGTCCTCCCAAAGAGATAGGTTCTGTATTGAAGAAGTAAAATTATAACATAACCAAAAAAAAAAAAAAAAAAAAAAAAAAAAAAAAAAAAAAAAAAAAAAAAAAAAAAAAAAAAAAACATAAGCTTTTAAAGGTATGAGGAAAACCTTCTCGAGCTCTCGTGTCTTGATCACATCAAGCTCCGTTGGTCCTCCCAAAGAGATAGGTTCTGTAATACCATACCTTTGCCCATTCTGCTGGACATTCGCCATCAATCTTACTTTCTTCCTTCCTCTCTTTTTTTCCTGTTTTTTTTTTTCTTATCTTATTTTTTCTCTCAAATTTTCTATTAGATTCCTACGAGCATATAAAAATTTGATTCTTTTTTTTTTCTCAACGAAGAATTTTGCTGGATATTTCGAATAATGGTAAACTGGGAGAAAATTACAAATGGAGAGAAAGTTGTTGATCATACACAGAATACAAAATCAAAAAGCCTTTGCTAAAATCAAAACAAATCAAACTGAAAGCTAAACACTTTTGTAATCATACAACAATAGCCCAACGACCCTTCAAGCCCTAATCCAAGCGTCTGGTTATACAACGAATCGTAATCGAGAGAATAGCAGAAAGTCTCGTCCTTTTGAGCACCAAGCGATCCTTGTAGACTGCACCCCGGTAATCGGAGATGGTTTCAGGCGTATTGATTCCCGGTGAGAACAACCACTCTCCACCCCCTAATCGATTAGGTTTCCGTCGCGACGAATCAATCACACCTTCTCGTGTTGGGGATAGAAAAAGATTTTTCGGGCCACACACTTTTTATAACCGTGTTCCTAACCCTATTTTAGATCCGACCCTAGAATTAAATAACCCGACCCGATACCTTTTTTAACTGTATTAAAAAAATAGAAATATATATAATTCTCAACCATGATGTTCCCATAATATAACCATGCTCTGATACATAGCATCATACAATGACAATCCACTGTTGTTAGATACAGTGATCATAAGTTATTGAATCCAATACAAACACACAAAGAAACAGAGATTTGAGGCTATGAAATGTCTCTGTCTTATATTTGAGGCTGTCACTGGTTCAGTTATACACTTAGGGTGAGTTTGGAGATTGAACAGAGCTATATTTGTGATCCAAGAGATACACAGAAGCAAAAGTATAGAGAGCTTTATAATCATATAGAACCTGATGATCAGTTTACATCGAATAAAGCAAGTAAGACAACGAGGTTTTATCATTGTGAATTAAGGAGGAAAAACCATAAATTGCCAACTTACAACAGCAGGGCTACAAATGACAATCTAACAATGTTGTGGTCTAACCCGAGCGTGAAACTGGAGGAAGGGAAGAGAACGTGGTAAGAAACATTACTATTGGAAGTCGAGGTCGAGCTTCCTCTTCAGATGAGATCTATCCGCACTACAAAATGAACAAGAAGAGAAAGCTGTCAAAACATATTCAATCAAGGTAGTACACGGTGGGGGAAGGGGAAGTTAGAATACTCTATTTTTACCTGGTGATGGTAGGTCGGTTTGGTGGCCGCTCAGCGAGGATGGTAAAATCTAATGACATGTGTGCTTGTTGATCCTTGTCAACGTGAGACTTCATACCATCAAGCCTCCCACGCTCAAGCATTACTCTTCTAATCTTATGTGGTGGTGATATCACTTTAATCGCCTCATGTTTACCGTAAGAGGCTTTAGCTTCCTGCTTGCGTACTGGCTTTGGGAGCTTGGCAGGGTCAGTAGGAGAAGGAGCAGAAGTAAAGTACCTGAAAAATGGGATATCAAAGAAGTGAGAACAGAACTAGATATAAACTTGGCTATAATATAGGTGATGAGTTTTAGGCACCTGTGTTCTAGAGCCTGTTTAACGGAAATTCTAGCCTTTGGGTCATAGGTAAACATCTGGGACAACAAGTCGAGAGCATCTTCACTAACTGTTGGGAATAAAGAACGTAGAGAAGGTGCAGCGACAAATTGATACTCTACGTAATCGGGAAGGTTTTTCATGTCAGGCCACTGGTCCGCTTTTGGTGTCCCAAAGGCAGCAAATATTTTGCTTAATTGATCGATATCACTGTTTCCCTGCGATGAAGGAACCGAGTATGTAACTATGTAAGCATACTAAACAAACAATATATAGAATAGTCTGATAAGATCCAAAAGATAAAAACTGGAGTAAGTTTAGTTATAACCATTGATGAGCTGAGTACAGAGTATTTAACCTGAAGAAATGGTCTGCGTAGCAGAAGTTCGGCAAATATGCAGGCAGCAGCCCAAACATCAACTGCAGCACCATATTGTTTTGAACCAAACAAAAGTTCTGGTGCTCTGTACCATCTAGCAAACACCTGTGCATCATCATCACATATATCATAATAATGAAACAAGTGGAAACAACACCTTATTAAGGTGCATTACACATCTATTGTAATCATGGATTTTCAAAGGAAAAAAAAAAGGTAACTGATCCATCATGTAATTTGAGTTGAGACTGTTTACTACATATCACACTTTTGATTATCGATAGTCGAAAGCAGAAATCCATTATAAGAGGTGTCACGAAATTTCAACAATTAAGAGATTAGTATACAACGAGAGAAAACAAAAGAGTTTCGAAGACTTCAATGCTTACTCATACGTCAAGACAACTACTTAAATGAATTCATATAAGCTTCATTTTCTACAAGTTAGCGTTCCGGATCAATTATGCTATACTACAGGCAAAATAATACATGGTACTAACGCCAAAAACCATACCTGGTGGGTAAACTTACGACCTGGACTACCAAATATACGCGCTAACCCAAAATCAGCAAGTTTCAGCTGTCCATCAGGTCCAATCAACAAATTATTTGGCTTCATATCCCTAAAGTCAAACAATACATAATCAGTGCTAAAACCAAGCAGCATTACATATACCAAAGAAACTTGCTTAGGATTATAAACAAGTACCTGTGCAAAACCCGTTTCTCATGGCAATAAGCAAGTCCTTTTAGCGTCATTAAAAGGTAAGATTTAACATCAGCAGGTGAAATGAATAACTTAGAATCTCTAATAACTCCTTCGAGGTCAGTCTCCATGAACTCAAACACAAGATGCAAGTTTTGCTTATGAGGAAACGCATCAATCAAGAGAATAATATGTTGATGCTTTAGCTCTTTCAGCATTTTGATTTCTCTGAGAGCAGTTATATTCACGCCTTCCTTTTGTTTACCAATCCTTATCTTCTTTATTGCTACAGTTTCTCCCGTCTGCAACAGAAAGCGGATCTAAGAAATCAAAATCTAATTGAATTGCAAGTCTAATTGAATTCTCAAACATTTAGAAAGTAATTGAATCAGTGTTACTCGACAGATCCTAAACCCTAATTTTTCGTGGCGAATTTGAAGAGGAATTAGACCTTAGTATCAGTGGCTTTGAAGACGACTCCGTAAGTGCCTTGCCCGAGGACCTCTTGCTTGAGATACCTATCAGCTACTTTTTTTCGCTCCTCCATCTCCGCCTTTCGCCGGAGAAGAAAAAGTAGCCGTTGGCGCGTCTTCGGAGGCAATCGGCAAAAATCGAGGGAACGAAACGGCGCCGTTGAGTGTATAATCCATTTAGCTTCGGTTGAGACTATTCGGTTTCGGTTTTTCGGGTTTAAAATTTTGGTACTATTCAGAGATTTATAAATTTCAGTAGATCCGGTTCGGTCTTGGATAATCCGTTTAAACTATTTTTAAATTTTTAATATATTTTTGAAAAATTCAAGATCTAAAAAATAAAATATAATATATAAATTTGAGTAATGTATGTTATAATACATAAACTTAACATAAAAATTTAGTTTTAATATTTTTGTGTTTTAAATATTGTTTAGTTAATTTTATATATTTACTTTTGACTTTGTATATTATTTTAAATACTTTAGAATTTTTCAAAATATCTAATACAGTTTAGATATTAAATCTAAAAATAACTAATATATTTAACTATTTAAATCTGATTTGGATTTATTCAAATACTTGAAATGTTTTGGTTCGATCCCAATTTTTTTTCTTTTCTTTTTTTTTTAATTGAATGTTAAATTGAATTCAAAAAAGAAAGACTTTGTTACAAGTAATGTCGATCCCCATTTCCTATCTACCAAAATTTTAAATCCATTTGAATATTTAACAAAATCCGGATTCGGTACTACTTTATCGGATAGCAGATTCGGGGATCTTTTACCCTGCCTAGGTAAAAATTCGGATATACACAAACTCGAAACGGCAGAGTTTGGTTCGAAATAAACACAATCCAGTTTGTACCGAACCGGTTCAACCAATTTCTTTTACTACTACAACCTTAAACCATCCGGGTTTACTTTACATCACAACATTGCAGATGACTCATATTGTATCATTCATTCACACATGCAAAGATTTTTACAGGGAAAGTATTTTTTAAGAAGAAGAAGAAGAGTGATCATCATCAAGAAGCAATGCGGCGACAACGACACCAGAAAGCAGTACCACCACTTCTTCCACGAGCAACAGCTATTTCTTCATCGACATAAAACCAAATGAAGAAAGGGTCTTTGTTACTCGGCTCTTCCTCTGCTTCTTTCTTCCCCAAACCGATCTTTATAGGATCTAAAGGTCCAATCTTTATGCGTATCTGTTCGAAGATGAAGGCTAAGATACGGTTCTTCCATGAAAACTTTCCTTCGAATGTTAAAGCTCCTATTGGACCAAGATACACCCCATTCTCTATCCTTTTCCCCTGTTTCAAGATGTTGCAGTTACTTCTAAAATGTATTATATTAACTGTTTAAAAGACTGTGATGGCGAACTTACCGCAGCATCAAATCTCTGAACAGCGGTTAGAGGGAAATAACGACCTTTCTTCAGTTTCTTCTGTATTTGTCGTATAATATAAGATCTTATGTGAGTGATTATCAAGATTAGAACATTATAAGACATGAAAGACTATTGTAATAGACCTCGGCAGTGAAGATGAGCATCCATGTTCGTCCAGGGGACTCAGAGCCACCAAGTGTTTCAAGGAATGGTGATGGATCAACCTTAGCCTTTTCAATAGCAGCAAAAGCAGCTAAAATCTCCTCTGCTGCAACTTTTCTAGTTTTTGCAGCCGTTTTAAGCAGACTCACGCTCTCCGTTACTTCCTACAAGCCCAGAAGTTCAAAAAAAAAAACCTTTAAAACTATATATCCAAAAGTGTAGAAACCAATTCAACCACAAGTGACTTCAACAAGCTTTGAACTTTGTTAACCAATAAAACAATGTAAAGGCAAAAGGAGAGTACTTTGTTAGGGGTTTGACTTTGTGCCGGTGGAACAATCTGGTTCCTACCGTCGACCGTTGCTCTCACCAAAGGTAACCTCTGACGACGATTAAAGAAGACGGAAGAAGATGGGGACAAAGCCCAGGAAGCTGGTGAGACCATCATTGCAAGTAAAGAGCTTACTGGTTTATCATTCTTCTTTGTTTCTTCCACATCATTTTTTTTTCAGACAGATCAAACCAGAAGTAGGGGAAAAAAACTAGAACTTGTCTCTATTGTGATCCACTAGTTTTATTTGGCTAAGAAAAGCTTTCTACTAGATCATTTTCCTCGACCGTTATCTCGATATCGTACCATTGGTTTGGTTTAATTAGAACGCCGCACAATGCTTTGTATCATACAATTGGTTTGTTATAAGTTGGTAATCATTGTCCGGTTTAATTTGATTTACATGCCAATGAACTTGGATGCATGCAGTTGCTAAGAGCATGTGCATTAGTGAACCGCAAGGGAGGTTCACACACTTTCCAAAAAAAAAAAAATATTATAAAAATGATGGGGTTCATTTTTTGGTGAACCCAAGCTCTCCCAAGCTCCCTCCCGTGAACCTTTTAGGGTGGAGTTCATCACTGTTTTGCGGGCCCCACGCCACGTGACGGCCCGCTATTGGTCAGTGTCTTTTTTTTTTTTTTTTTAAATATAAAAAGAAATGAAAAAAAAAATAATAAAAAAAAATTAAATTGTGAACCCCAACAGGGGTTCACCAATGTACCTGCTCTAAGAGGGTAACAGTAGTAGTAACTGTAATTCTCTATAAATATAGGAAATAAAAGTCACACTCATGGTTATCGTAATACTCTTTCTAGCTTTTAAATTTCCAAAAAAAAGGTCTCAGGTTTACACATCTGCAGTAGTAAATCTCAAAACCCCAATTGGAACACTACGGTTTGGGTTTAGTAGGGAACTCAATGTCATGTCTCCTGCAGCTCAAAGAACAAGAAACCGGCTATGTTAGGATGTTTTCAAATGATAATTCTTCAATTGAAAACATTACATAAGTGAAAGTAAATGATTCGTCAGCAGAGTCGATCCTAGAAATTTGAAAGTTCTATTCGAAATAAAAGAATATTAATTTTTATTTAAAATTTTAATATATTTTTATTAACAAATAGTTTAAATATCTATTTTCTTTATAGAAAAATTAAAGTTGTAAGTTTTAATAACATAAATATATCTTCACATTATAACTGTACTATAAAATTTATATATATATATATATATTATAATAACAAAAAGAATAGTTTATATGTAATATTTTATATAACAATTTTTTTTTGTGTGGAGCCCTACACACTAGGGTGATCCATTCAAATGTTTCATTCATAGTAATCCTCTCAGGTCCGGTTCAGCTCGTCAGTCACCTTTTTCCTCACAAAATTCGGATTAAGCGCTTGAGGAAGCACCTGAGAGATCAGTCACTTTTCCAACAGCTACAGTTTTCCCTGTAGTGACCCAAATATGTAAAACTTATAAGCTAAGATGAGTGATTATTGCATTCTAGTCTCAGAAAATCTTTACCTTCAGTTCGTAAAGTGAATCTTCCAAGTTGAGGGAAATCTGAGTAATTTTCAACACAGATTGAATTTGAAACCTGAAAAGATACAGCAACGGATATCAGAGAGACTTGATAATAATAAATTTTCTAAAGATGTTAAATTGCAGCTTCCTGTGAAAGCCGTCAATGTTTCTGGTAAGATTTGTAACAACGGATTTCACTAAGCAAGGTTAGACACCAAGCAATCATCACCAAAGTTTTCAAGTTCGAAATGAAGTTAATATTTCAGCTTTTTCTTGGATTGGAATAGAAACTTAAACCATAAGTTTTGTTTAGAACTAATGGCTAGGAATAATAGTTTTTAAGGGGAAAAAGGCAATCAGAAGGAACCAGACCTGTATACGGCAGACCACAGCAGCACCATCCTTCACAAAAGGAACTTTTTCATTCGTGGGCTCCATCGTCTTCATATCAATTGGGCTTATCAATTCCATGATTTCACATTCCTCAACAACTGCATGAATGTGTAGAATAGCCTTGTAACCAGCTGAGTAGATAGTAGCCTACATGAGCAGCAAAATAATGAAGACTCGAAGAGATTAACACTATTCAAAATTACATATACTCGAAGTTGACATTTTCAAAAGAAACATGTGCTTACCTTCTTGTCAAGCAGTTCAAGGAAATGTAGGTGTGCAACAAACTCAGTAACAGCAGGTACAGGCTTTACTGCAACAAAAAACAACAAAAAAAACAAAGAAAAACTCCAGATTAGTACAAACTATAACCAAAAGAGAAGACTAAGATTCCAGAAAACACCAAAAGTTTCCGTAAAAACTATGATACTCACCTGTGCTGGATAAAACAAAACCTGAAAGGATATCCTCGTCTTCAATGCCAGTTATACGGACTCTCAAATTCTCACCCGGTCCAGCACGCTTAACTTTATCTTCGTCGCAATATATAGCAACAACTTTCACGTGCTCCTACATAAAAATGCATGAAAGTTATGGGGAAGCTAGCCAATGTGCTGGCAATCAAAATATGAGATGTGAGAGAAGACATTAAGAAAGTACCTTGTTTGGCATAATAATCAAGGAATCACCCTCCTTAATGCTGCCAGATTCTACTTTTCCCATAACAACAGTTCCCATGTCTTTAAATTTATCTATAATAGGCATCCTATACAATTCATAAGATCAATTCGGGTTAAAAAAGACTGCAACATATGCCTGATGAATGAAAAAAAAAGTATAAGACAAAGGGAGAATGAAGGTTGACCTGAATGGACCACTAGGATCCCGTGGAGGAACTTCAATAGAATCAAGGACTTCGAAAAAGCTAGGGCCACTGTACCATGGACAAACGTTTCTGTCCATCCTCTTATCCATATTAACCCCCTTTAGACCAGATATAGGCAAGAAGATAACATCTGCACAAACAAAAGAGCAAAAGAACATATTAAAACATGCAATTAGACCATATCTAATCGGAAACATTAATATTTCATTGATATACCTTTCTTTGGGTTGTAGCTAGAGGATTTAAGAAATGGTACCAATTTTTTTTCTATTTCATCGTACCTGCATAGAATTGGATGATATAAATAAATATGAATATCAACATTGGCAGTGGTTAGAAAATTGGATGTAAGTAGAATACCTCTCTTTCGACCAGTTCACAGTTGGATCATCCATTTTGTTCACCACAACAACAAGCTTTGACACGCCCAATGTTTTTGCGAGTTGGACATGTTCACGTGTCTGACCACCCTTCTCATATCCTGTTTCAAATTCACCTTTACGGGCCGAAATCACCTACAACGGAAAAATGAGAGCAGATAATTAATAAACTTCCTACCAAAAACACTTATGCTAAAGTAAGGAACACAGACTAACCAGCACACCAATGTCTGCCTGAGATGCTCCACTAATCATATTGGGTACATAACTTTTGTGACCCTACAAGTTCAAAGTGAAATTAGAAGAATATAATCGACATGAAAACAAATGAACAAAAAAAAAACTATCAAACTTACCGGAGCATCTAAAAGGGTAAACCTTGTGCTCTCAGTTTCAAAATGAGCCCTTCCAACTTCAACCGTTTTACCCTGTCAAATGTAGCCAGTTAGCCATACCTCTTAGCTAAGTTAAATTCAACCATAAACATTAATCAAAACACAGCAGATACTTTGGCTTTCTCTTCTTCATTTGTATCCATTATATATGCCATATACCTAACATAACAGGTCAAAAACAAGTTAACGAAAAACATAAAACTAGAACCTTAAAATTGCTTATCAGTTTGAATTAATCAAGACACTCACCAGCTTTCTCTGTTGTTGTCTTTTGCTTCCTTCTCATACTTCTGGATTTGTCGGTCGTCCACCTGACCGCTGAGGAAGAGAATTCTTCCTCCAATTGTAGATTTTCCTGCATCTATAATTGAAAGTTTCCGTGTAAATATTAAATCAAGAAACAGCCATTACAAACTTAGGAAAATTCCTTACAAACTAAGGTGTAACATAAACATTCCCGGTAAATAATTTAGAAAATACAACAAGATATTATCTATTATGAAAGTGAACTGATGAAAATAAGCAGATAGACATACCAACATGGCCAATAAAGACCACATTCAAATGTCGCTTCTTGTTTGCTTCTGCCTCTTCTTCTGCTTCCTCTTTCGCAGCCTTCTCTTGGGCTGCCTTCTCTTTAGCTAAAATGATTAAATTATAAAAGAAAGATAATTAGATCTTCAACTAGATAGGCGAACACAAAAATATATAGACAGTAGTTTGAGAAAATCACCTGTTGAATCAAGATGTAATGCACGAATCTCAGCCTCAAGGTCTACATAAGTTAATAAAAAGATATAAGAAACAGGAAGCGTGTAAAGGAAAAAGGACAGAACAACTCATATAATCCCAAATATTACCAAGGCACATAACAATTTCAAACGCACAAATAACCATCATGAGAGGAACATATTGCGCAAACAAAATCAAGGTGGCACAACCATTCAGCTTCAACGTATACGGAAGACACTTTGACTTGAAGACAGACCAAGTATGTACACAACCTAACCCTAAATGTCTGGGAAAACCACTACTTGAAGATGCTTTTACAAACCATCTGGCTACATCCTTGCAGTTAAACCATATCATAATCCGAATCCTCATGCTACACAAACTAGATACTTCTGATTTCAAATTTGAGGGCCAAATTCACTCTAGATTAGGAGATGTTAAAGTGAAACCAATCAAGCTAAACCCTAAATCCGATCACTACTTTTAACACCTATAATTCTACTTCCTGTGTTAGCACAGTAAGATAAACATACACCTAATTATATCAAGCTACAAAAGCCGTAATCGCGCATAAAAAAAGACGAGAAACCATACCCATGGCGTATGCTGGATTAAACGAAAGGAAGTAAGCTTTCTAGGTTTTATCGCCAAAAAGAGAAGAAGCGTGTCAAAGAATCAAATTCCCACCAAACTGTATATTTATACCAACCTGGAAGGGCAGTTTGGAACTTACACATTTCACATGGACTCATTTACAAAAGCCCATTAGTAAACCTTTATAACATACTAGGCCCAATTAAAAAAATAACCCTAATCCATTTCCCTCTATCTCACATATAAACCGCCGCTTCCATCCACTCGCCTTCTTCTCCTTCCCATCTCACTCAAAACCCTAATTTCCGAAGCTTCTCCACAACAATGGCGGAAGGACTCGTCCTCAAAGGCACCATGCGAGCTCACACCGACATGGTCACAGCGATCGCAACCCCAATCGACAACTCCGACATCATCGTCTCCGCCTCCCGCGACAAATCAATCATCCTCTGGAAACTCACCAAAGACGACAAATCCTACGGCGTAGCCCAGCGCCGCCTCACCGGCCACTCGCACTTCGTCGAGGACGTCGTCCTCTCCTCCGACGGCCAATTCGCCCTCTCCGGATCCTGGGACGGGGAGCTTCGCCTCTGGGATCTCGCCGCGGGAGTCTCCACTCGCAGATTCGTCGGACACACCAAAGACGTACTCTCCGTCGCGTTCTCGCTCGATAACCGTCAGATCGTTTCGGCCTCCCGTGACCGTACGATTAAGCTTTGGAATACGCTTGGGGAGTGTAAGTATACTATTGCTGAAGGAGGCGGTGAAGGGCATAGGGATTGGGTTAGTTGCGTTAGGTTTAGTCCGAATACGGTTACGCCGACGATTGTGTCGGCGTCGTGGGATAAGACTGTGAAGGTTTGGAACTTGGCGAATTGTAAGCTTAGGTCGACGCTCGCGGGGCACGGTGGGTATGTTAATACTGTTGCGGTTTCGCCTGATGGTTCGTTGTGTGCGAGTGGAGGGAAAGATGGGGTTGTGTTGCTTTGGGATTTGGCTGAGGGGAAGAAGCTTTACTCTCTTGAGGCGAACTCTGTGATTCATGCGCTTTGTTTTAGTCCGAATAGGTATTGGCTTTGTGCGGCGACGGAGCAGGGGATTAAGATTTGGGATCTGGAGAGTAAGAGTGTTGTTGAGGATTTGAAGGTTGATCTTAAGGCTGAGGCTGAGAAGTCTGATGGGAGTGGTACTGCTGGTAACAAAAGGAAGGTACGGACATATTAACTCCCTCATGGTTTGGTTATATGTTACAAATTTTTGCTTTTGGATAGGTAGATGTCTCTTTAGTTGTTGATGATGTTTAGATAATACCTGATGATTTAAGTAATACTGGTGCTTGATGATAGCGTTTACACTTGTATATCATATGTTAATAGCAAATGTCATAGTTCATTGAGTTGGTTCTTATGGGTTGATCTATTGAAATAGAAACAAACAATACATGTGTTTGGTCATCTATACATTGGCTTTGGCATAGATTCAGTATATTTTAAACTGATGAAACCTGTGAATCAATAAGTGAATGCGAAACATGTGTAGCAGTTGAGTTTCTGGTCTATATAGTTCATATCTTATTACATTGTAACTTAGTGTTTGAATGGTTTCCAAGTCTCCATACCTGCGAATACATTGAAATGGATTTGTTTTGTTGGTGTGGATAGGTGATCTACTGCACCAGCTTGAACTGGAGTGCGGATGGAAGCACTTTGTTCAGTGGTTATACCGATGGAGTTATCAGAGTTTGGGGTATTGGCCGCTACTAAGTTATCCCAGCTCTTTTCTCTCCCCCACTTTCTTTGGTTGTTTTATCTATCACTTGTTTTCCAGCGAACTCAAGTACCACCCTGAGATTTTGCAAGGATATTTTGTTTTATGTCAAACAGATCTAGGTTTGGATCCTTTATATGTTTCTTATATCTTGTGGTTTTGATTAAATCTAATTTATAGCTTGATTTCGTTGATAATTTAACAGTATGTTCTAATAGATTAGTCACATTCTAATTATATTCGAATCGAAGTTAAACAATCTTCTTGCGAGTAAGACCCACAAGAATTTGATGAAAATGTTATTCTACTACTCTAGCAAATTGACATGAACATTGTGTTAGCACAATTGCACAAGAGTAGTTCCTATCAGTAGCACTCTTTCAACCAATTAGAATTCGCAGTTGAACACAGTCGAACAGGCGCTGCTTCCAACGCTGACACGTGGAGTCTGTCGTGATTAATTAACTCCCGCCATGTCCTTTTCGCGCCTAAAAGCCTCTTAAAAGCTTTATAATTCCCTTAATTAATACATATCTTTTACTCTAAGCGAGAAGGTGGAGAAAAAAACAATAAAAAAAAAACATTTAGGACAGAACCAAAAGAACCCTAATAAAGAGAGTGAGGCAGAGAGCAAGAAGATAAGACAGCAAAGCAGGGAGAAAATGGGGATAAAGGATCTTCTCAGATTCATGAAACCTTACATTCTTCCCATTCACATCCACAAATACGCCGGAACACGAGTAACAACATCTTCTCCCATTCTCATTTCTTTATATTCAATCGTTCTGGGTTAATCTCCATTAAAAAAGCTAACTCTTTTAAGTAATGGGCCTACACAATTATGTATTTTCAGGTAGGAATCGATGCGTATTCATGGCTACACAAAGGAGGTAAGCTTCATGCGCTCTTAATTTGAGGAAAACATTTCATCTTTTAGTAAACCGTTTAATTGCATTCAGAGTCAAGAAACCTTGTTTTCGAATTAGATACTGAGCTGAAAAATTAGAAATGACTTCAATTATAATCTGCTTACTGGCTGGATTTCAATTTCATGACTTGATGGGATTATTTTTTTTATCTTCGACCAGCATACTCATGCAGTATGGAGCTGTGTTTAGACACTGATGGGAAGAAGAAGCTGAGATACATTGATTACTTCATGCACAGAATCAGTCTTCTTCAACACTATGAGATAACTCCAGTCGTTGTTCTCGATGGTGGTCATATGCCCTGCAAGGCTGCCACTGGTGACGAGCGCCAAAGGCAAGTCTCTCTATTGTTTTATCACTTCTTCTTTTAGCTCCTAAAATAAGCTTCTGTTTCATTTGACTAAGCGTTTGTGTTTTCTTCTAATGTTATCAGGAAGCGAAAGGCAAACTTTGATATTGCAATGGTGAAGCTAAAAGAAGGGAACGTTGGAGCAGCTGTTGAGTACTTCCAGGTTCGTTGTTCTTCTCATTTCAATGGTTTTGGATCTATTAGCTGCATAACTGTCCGCCTTTAGAGTTAGTATCACTGCTTGTTTAGCAGCGACCTAGCTTGTTCTCACTTCAATAGCTTTAGAGTTTCTTTCACTGCTAATTAGCCTCTGAAAGCTTCAGGATTTGTCTGTCTTTACTAGGAATACATTTTATCACCGCAAAGCTTTTTCCTTTTTCCGTGTCTGAACTCTGAACTTGAACCAGTGTCCTTAAATCCTTCAAACATAGAACTACCCTCTTGAATCTTAGGTCTAGTTTGACATTCTTTCTGTGTTGGTATGTGTGTTTAGTCAGTAGTTATACTTTGTTCGAGACTAGGATATCTTGTGAGCTAATCTCTATTGTCATCACTACACGCAGAGAGCAGTTAGTGTAACATCATCCATGGCTCATCAACTGATTCAGGTATATACTTTTATTAACCAAGTACATTTCTTTAAGGAATTATGCATCTTTTTCTAGGACCCTAACAACTTTTCAGGTTCTTAAATCAGAAAACGTGGAATTTATCGTAGCTCCGTATGAGGCTGATGCTCAGCTAGCATATCTATCCAGCCTCGAACTGGAACAAGGCGGGATTGCTGCTGTTATAACTGAAGACAGTGACTTACTTGCCTATGGCTGCAAAGCTGTAAGATTCTTTTTTTCCACATACAATAAAACAAAGTTTAAGTGTTTTAAGATCATTGCGTGATATGTTTCCGCAACATCTGTATGGTAAAAAGGTTATCTTTAAGATGGACCGGTATGGTAAAGGAGAGGAACTGATTCTAGATAATGTCTTTCAAGCCGTTGATCAAAAGCCTTCTTTCCAGAATTTTGATCAAGAACAATTCACAGGTTAGTATGTGACTATCTCTCCCAACATACATTAATAACATTGTTGTTCATATCTTGGTTTGGTCTTTTTTCAGCAATGTGCGTGCTAGCTGGATGTGATTTTCTGCCCTCTGTTCCTGGTGTTGGCATCTCTAGAGCTCATGCATTCATCTCCAAGTACCAGAGTGTTGAACGTGTAAGCATTTAATTAGATCTGTTCATTCGTCGCTAAAGCAAAGAAAGCTTAAGACATTAGAATGTGTGAAATTTTTTGTAGGTTTTGTCAGTTCTCAAGACGAAAAAGGGTAAACTAGTTCCTGATGATTACTCCAGCTCTTTGATGGAAGCTATTTCAGTTTTTCAGTATGCTCGTGTGTAAGTAGCTCTCGTCTCAGTCAAGTTTTTGCTAATATCCCTTCTTTTACCGTTCTTACATCATTTCCCTTTGATTTAATATGTTGTAGATATGACTTTCATGGTAAGAAGCTCAAGCACTTGAAACCACTCTCGCAGAACCTCATGAACTTACCAGTTGAACAACTTGAGTTCCTGGGACCGTATCCTTTTTTACTTTAACACATTCATCACATAAAAATTCACATGTTTATTTACCAATTTTTGTTCACCTTGACACGTTAAACTTAACAGAGATCTCTCACCATCTATCGCTGCTGCAATTGCTGAGGGTAAGGTTGATCCCATAACCATGGAGGCTTTTAACCGTTTCTCAGTTTCCGAGAGACATATGAAGAAGCCTGTTAGATCATTCAAGGAACAGGAAAAGAGTAGCTCCTTTATGTTATTGCCTTTGTCTGAAAGTGAAGAAAGAATAAATCTCAAAAGAAGTGCTGATGAAGCTAAGATCAGTCCAGAGACTGTTATGGAGGAGCCAAAGTACTCAAAACAAGATTTAGATCTACACAAACTGGTGTTGCAGCCTAAGAAGGATCATATGATTATCCAAAAAAACAGTCCCTCATTGGCTCCGGATAACAACCCATTCAAGATCAGAAAAACCGATGAAATCACTATGGAAGAGTATGGTTTGCAAGAACTCAAGGTTTCTTTTGAGACCAACGGTGAAGCAATGGATGTTACTCCTTCACCAGACTCTAACGAACCCGATTGCTCAGAGATTCAAAAGGAGGTTACAATAGATTTGTCAAAGCTTGATAATTCTGTAATCAAACAAGACTCTGAGAAGAACATGCAGAAGGAAAGATCTGTGGATTCAGAAGATATAGTTGAAGCTCAAGGTCATGTGAACATGACTACAAAGAGAGTGCGTGGAGCCAAACCTAGAGTTGAGAGTTTCAAAGTGAAAACAAGCTTTAAAAGCTCACAGGAGAAGAACGCTAAGATCAACAAGAAAAGTAGTATACTAGATTTCTTTCATCCATTGTAATCAATTTTGTTTGCCACCTCTTTGCTTCTTTGTAACCTTTTAAAATATATATGAATTTTTTTAAGTTAATACACAGTTTATAAAAAATTCATATGTATTTTTTTTTTTGTCATATATTAGATTAAACATACATTTTCAACGGTTCTTACACAAAGCCTAAGCCAGCAAAGGTATAAACTTTCCCGGAGTCACAAGCAAGCCATTAAAGATTCATATGCATTTCATGTGACAAGAAAAACAACCATTATTTATATCAAAACACTCAAGCACATAAAACAAAACCCTAAAAACGACCTACCTTGCTGAACACTTCCAAAAGCATTTGACAAAAAAAAAAACAAATCATTATTTAAATCTAACACACTCAGATACACAAAAACAAAACCCTAAAAACTCCCCTACCTTGCTGAACACTCTTTCAACACTTAGGAAGATCACGAGGAGGACGAATCAGAGTCTGAGAAGAAAGAGGCCCATCTTTAACAATAAACCCCATAGCCAAACCCCAAGAGGTATGTTGTTCAAGATGACAATGAATAAACCAAACTCCCGGATTATCCGCATTTATCCTTATCGCCGCCCATCCTCCCGTCGGCACCGCGATCGTGTTCCTCTCCGGCGGATCCACCAAATTATACTTCCCCGGATCCTTCTCCTCGTCGAAGTTCCCGAACCCTCTTCCGACAACAAAGAAGTTATGTCCGTGCACATGTAACGGATGATTCTCAACGTTTAAAAAACTCGTTCCTTGGAACACAATCTCCAACCTCGCACCGAACTCAACTTCGAAAAGCTTTGTCCCGAACTCAGTGTTCATGTTCTCCTTCACGGGGTTGACCCCCGTGAAGTCGAACTTATTCGGAGGCTTCTCTGGGAAGTCGAGTGTGAACACTCCTCTGCTCTTTTTATGGTAGTAGCTCTCGAGGACTGAGATAGGAGGTCTGATGAAGGATATGTTGTTCATTGACGCGAAGAATCTTTTACCGTTGTACCCTTCGCAGGTTTGGTGTTCCGGACAGTTTTGGAGGTTGAGACTTATCGTGGTGATCACGCGCTTGTCGATCACTGTCGGGACTTTACAGGGATACTCCGGAGACCCGAGGGATTTGATGCTGTCGGTGAATCTCGTTGCGAATGTCGTGTCCAGCATGTCTGGTAACACCGAGCTGGTGGATAGAAGTGTTGTTAACCGGCGTCGGTTTAGATGGTTTATTGGTTTGGTTTTTTGGTTGTTGTAACGGAGGAAGCCGACGGTGGTGGAGTTGTTGAAGGGGAAGACGGAGGTGACGTAAGGAGTTGCGGCGATGAGGAAGTCTTCTCCGTTGGAGAGATTGTTGGTGCGGAGGAGGAGGGTTGTGGTTTGTCCGGGAGCGATCATGATTGCTTTTGTGTGAACCGGTTTGGTGTAAACCGCGTCGACTTCGACTACGGTTAGTGTGTGGTTTGATATAGCGAAGAAGAGTTCGTCGTTTAGAGCGGCGTTGATTATTCGGAGGATGTATGTTTTTCCCGCGTCCACGTTGGCCGTGAATGTATCTGTACACAATTTTAAATTACGGTTAGAAATAAACCGGGTTGAATTGGATTTTTGAATTTAACCATCGGTTTAAGGGGAGAGGATTGAACCTTTGGTAGAGCAAGGGTAAAGTGGACCGGGAAGGCCGTTAAGTGTGTACGCGTCGGAGACTTTAGCACCAGCTCCTGTTTTCAACATCTCCTTCTCCACTTTGTCTACGTCATCATTCCACCATTCACCTGGTGGGGAAAAAAACAAAACCAAACTGAGTCAACTCGAACTCAGACCACCAAACCCCAAAATTTATATATTGGTTTTGTTTTGTTTTGTGATTTGTTAATTGTTTTTTTAATGGAAGTAAACTTGAACCAAGCTAAAACTAACCTGAATTATATCAAATTCAACATAAACTGAACGGAACACACACTAAACCAGTTTAACTTCATGTGAATTCAGTTAGAATTTATCAGAAATATTTTTTTTTTAAAGAATTTTAAATTTATTCATATCAAAAAAACTTTTGTACAGAAGAGACTGCAAATTTTCTATAAATTCTTACTCATGCCTATAGATTTTTTTACACTAAATTATATTTTATCAGAAATAATTAATTGAACCAAACTCAAATCATACCCAAAATCGAACCGAAATGCCCACCTCTACATTTCACAACTCAATCCATAATTATCCATGAGCATTAATATATACATCTACTTATTTATAATATTACATAATTTTATATGCATGATTCCATTTCCTGATAGTGTACTAGTAAATATGTGACCATTTACCCTGTTTATGTTCATATACGCGGTTTGGTAATTGAGTATTCTCACTCCGTATACACACAAAACACCTTATTTAGCTTTATACCCTATTTCTTTCTTCTCTTTCTTTTCTCCATCACTATTTTTTTTTCATTAGAATATGGCAAATTCCTAAATATCTTCTTCTTTTGGTATTATGAGCTAAATCACTCTTGGTAATTATGGTTCAAAAATTTGGCAAAATTATAGATTTGAGCGATAAGAAACAAAACATTAAAAAACTACGTTAAATTTTGTACCGAGAATAATGGGAATTTCGGATTGGATGTGGCTGCCATGAGAGAAGGGGTAAGGCTGCTTCGGATAGATGATGAAGGCACCGTAGACAGAGGCGCGTTGCCATGAGTGATGAGCATGCCAAAGGAGTGTGCCTCTCTGGTCTTCCACTTTGAATCTATATGTATATGATTGTTTCGATCTTATTGGACACTGCGTTATGTAAGCCGGTCCATCCGCCCAACCGCTCCGGTATTGCCTTAACCCATGCCTACTCACATAAAGTAAGTTAATTAACTGTGGTTAAATTATGCATGCATGAGATTTTTTTTTGGGTGTAAATGAGATTTTATTATTTACCAATGAATAGTTGTATTGTGAGCAATCCGGTTAGTCACTTTGATTTCTACCGTGTCACCTTCGTGAACCACCACCGCCGGCCCAGGGTATTGTCCGTTCACCGTTAGAAGTTGCTTCGTGTGACATAGTCGAGTTACCTTTTTCCATTCGACCTAAAACCATCAAAAACCCAAAAGTTATATAATATTGAAAATTGTTACGATTACATATGCGTAATACACAACCACGGTAAAACTAAATATCATAAGATTGATATAGATGCATGTGTATAGTACAAGGATTAAAACTTGTGCATACTGCTTTATGTTTTTTTCCAAAATTTCATTTTATGGTCACGTCACAAAATTCGTAATATTTGCTTACATTAAAGTGAAATCGACGGGTGGTTGATGCTGAAGAATAAGGGAGAAGAGTTGCAAAGAGGACCAGAAAGGTCGAAATCATTAGAAATCCGAAAGTCTTCATTTTCTTCATATAGAATAAGACTGTTCTTTGTTTTTTTTTAGCAAACACTTAGCTATGATTCTTGATTAAGATGTTAATGTGGAGATTCCTTTATATAGGATCATATTGGCTTCCCTTTCTAGTTTAAATATTATTTTATAACAAATTCTGTTAAAGTACCTATATTTTCAAAAGTTTGAGAATGCCCCCATAAAATACCATGCATGAAAAAGATAAAGGAGAGAAATAATTTCAGTGTATATTTTTCTGTTTATAATTACGGGTGAGTTTTCTTACATTATTGGATTGTTAGGTGAGAGTACCACGTACGAAAAACTTAACCACTACTAATGTTTTGAAGATCCAAATCTCTCATATACAGAATTCATACATTCATAAGGTTATGTAAACTATAAACTAGCCCTTTCTAAATGATTTAGTGTCACTAAAACATTAGTATATTCTGATATATAATAACTAACTACATTACAATTATATTTTAGATTTCGAACATCTTCAATTGTATATGAATCTATATATCTACGGCATACGATTTTTATTTTCTCCATCGAACCCTAGATTACATGACTTCCCATAGACATCAGTACATCACCAATTAACCATACTCATTCGAGAAAAGCTAATTTCATCTTGTCTTTATGTGGGTTGCTTTCTTTAACTGTGTGTCTCTCTTCTCGACCAATCTCATCGTATCTTAGACACCTGTTTTTTTTGTAAAGCACCCAATTATTCTTTTGCTCACCAAACTTCCCACAATTTGAATGTAACTCTCTCGTTCAACTCTCTCATTTATTTAAGCCAGTCATTCCTCGTAGCTTTTTTCACGTTTTAGTCTCTGTTTGATAGTTTAAGACGTGATATAGTCAGTGTGTCTTATAATTAAATGTATCACTAGCAAGTTGATGTAACAAAAACTTATAGCACTAACAAATCTAAACCAAAAAGTAATTATATAATAACACCAACGAATGTGCAATACTTTCGGTTAAATTGACTATAAATCAACATAATTGTGTTTTTGTTCCAACATAATAACTGAGTTGAATCGAAATCGACAAGAGCATTGCAATGGAGGTGCTCTCGCGGATACAATTTTTTTCTTTAATAAAAACGGATTGACGATAGTCACTTCATATATTTTTTTATAGATTTTTTGTGTTTCCTATTGATAATTTATCGGGTCTGCCTATAAAACCATTTCAACTATGTGAGAATCTTGAACGATGACAAATAATCTTGTTAGAAAAAAACAAAGTACTCTTGCGGTTTTACATATAATATCATGAGTCACTTCATAAGTGGAACATCTTGTTATATGACCCTTCTGAAAAAAAGACATGTATTTTTATGGGTACGTAAAAGTTGTCTGCTTTAGTGGATATCAATTCAGGATTTGTGGTGGGGATATAATTAAACTCACACATGTAAAATGCGTGTTCAAGAGCGAAGCTAGTAAAGAGAGCAGCCATATATTTCAAAAACTAGTGTATCTCTTAACTAATTTCAGATACGTATATATTGTAGTTTGTAAGTTAATACTCATTATATATAATATTTGGGTTAAAGCTTATCTGAAAAACAATTTGCTATTTGGAAATTTTATGAAAGTTGTTGTTTGTTGCATTGAATTACCACACCGCGCGTTCTTTTATGTATTTTTATTTGCATGATACGGAAAAAAATCTT